GATAATACAATAAAATATAAAATAAAAAGATAAAATATGGTTAAGGTTAAAGTAACTTACCAAATATTTAAAGTTTAAGTGCAAAAAGGTCAACTTAATAGTACCGTAGGTCAGTAAGATGCACACTGACCCTTTATTTCATGTAGTCAACACTATTGTATGTTCGGAACTACATACTTGGATGTCGGGATTACCGACTTACATATGTAGTCTTACCCCGACATTGCAGTTGAAAAATTAAGAAGAAACACCATTAAATGTATTCTTAATTTTATGCATGGATACATATTTCTACATGTAATATAGTTGAAGCACTTTCCAGTAACAAAAAATTGTCAACATGATTTTGTCTTTCCTATATTTTTTTCCTTTAATCCTAAATGATCCTAAATTAAGTCTCTTTATGTTCTTAGTGCAGTCTACTTGCATGCCACATTCATATTATAATCAGACAAAAATTGTGTTTGGAGTAGCATTTTGAAAGAATTTCACAGAAATTTCTATTTTTAGTAACCATGGCAACACCGTTCACCGAAATCAAAAAACGATACACAGAAATATGTATCTTATTGTAGTCTACTTGTGTGCCAAGTTATATTGAAATCAGACCAAAACTGTAGAAAGAGAAGCATTTTGAAAGAATTTCATCGAAATTTCTATTTTTAGCAACCATGGCAACACCATTCATCGAAATCAAAAAACGATACACAGAATTATGTATCTTATTGTAGTCTACTTGTGTGCCAAGTTATATTGAAATCAGACCAAAACTGTAGAAGGAGAAGCATTTTGAAAGAATTTCACAGAAATTTCTATTTTTAGTAACCACGGCAACACCGTTCATCGAAATCAAAAAACGATACACGGAATTGTGTATCTTAGTGTAGTCTATTTTTGTTTCAAGTTATATTGAAATAAGACCAAAACTGTAGGAAAAATAGCATTTTGAAAGAATTTCACAGAAATTTCTATTTTTTGGTAACCATGGCAACACTGTTCATCGAAATCAAAAACCGATACACAGAATTATGTATCTTAGTGTAGTCTACTTGTGTGTCAAGTTATGTTGAAATCAGACTAAAACTGTAGGAGGAGTAGCATTTTGAAAAATTGTGAACAGACAGACAGACAGACAGACAGACTGACGGACGACGGACGCATTACTATCGCATAAGCTCTTCTGGTCTCTGACCAGTAGAGCTAATAAAAACTAAGAAGCGTTTATAACAGCCAACAATCTAAATTTTATATGACTTCAACAGATATATATATGCAAACAGTATCAAATATGCAATATTGCAACAATTTTGTGACAGAAATGCAAAACATCCTGACATTAACATTACATGTCAACATAGATGCTTTGTAAACATTTCAAACATTTGTTAAGAGGAAATTTGAATACATCAAAGTTATCATTTGAAAGATACAAAATACACTGTAGTTAGTTTTAAGTTCACTTAATAGTAAATCTTTCCTATACATAACGAAAGCGAAAATTGGAAACATTGCAACTGAAAGTGAATAATTATATGATAGTCAAAAGACTCTGAATTGAATATAAACTATTATTTTGATAATAAGTAACATTTAATTGGAGTACCTGCAGGAATCAGATTACCTTAACTTGATGGTAATATTCCAAAATCGAATGATTAAGATCTTTTTGCAATCATTAATTTTGACTTTAAAGAGCAATCATGAGAAATTATAGTGATCCACCTTTTTTCCCTCTCTTTTATAAGAAAAATTGTACATCTGTAGCGGGACCAGAGGACACCTTATATTTAACACCAGAAGAGGGACTAGAGGTCACCTTATATTGTACATCAGTAAGGGGATCAGAAGTCACTAAATATTTTACATTAGTACGGAGACCTATGGTCACCTTATATTGAACATCAGAAGTAGGACCAGAGGTCATCTTATATTGTACATCAGCAGAAGGACCAGAGGTCGCCTTATATAGTACAACAGTAGGGGGATCAGGGGTAACCTTATATCTAACATCAGAAGGGGGACCAGATGTCACCTTATATTTTAAATCTGTAGGAAAACCAGAAGTCAACTTATATTGTACATCAGTACTGGGACCAAGGGTCACCTTATATTGTACATTAGAAGGGGGTCCAGAGGTCACCGTATATTGTACATCAGTAGAAGGAGCAAAGGTCACCTTATATTGTTCATCATAAGGGGGACCAGAGGTCACTTTATATTGTACATCAGTAGGGGGAACAGAGTTCACCTTTTATTGAACATCAGTAGGCTGACCAGAAGTCTTTTTATATTGTACATTGGTAGGGTGACAAGAGGTCACCTTATATTTAACATCAGAAGGATGAGCAGAGGTCATCTTATATTGTACATCAGCAGGGATAGCAAGGGTCACCTCATATTGTACATCAGTAGGGGGACCAGAGGTCACCTTATATTTAACATCAGAAGGATAACCAGAGGTCACCTTTTTTGTACGGGGACTAGTTGTCACCTAATATTGTACGATGCATCTGTAGCGGGACCAGAGGACACTTTATATTTAACACCAGATGAGGGACTAGAGGTCACCTTATATTGTCATTACTCACTAGATAGACAATGTGTAGTTCATTCTCTAGAACAAAACACTGTCTTACACATAACTCACCAGATAGACTATGTGCAGTTCATTCTCCAGAACAAAACACTGTCTAACACATTACTTACTAGATAGACTATGTGTAGCTCATTCTCTAGAACAAAACACTGTCTAACACATTACTCACTAGATAGACTATGTGTAGTTCATTCTCCAGAACAAAACACTGTCTAACATATTACTCACTAGATAGACAATATGTAGCTCATTCTCCAGAACAAAACACTGTCTAACACATTACTCACTAGATAGACAATGTGTAGTTCATTCTCCAGAACAAAACACTGTCTAACACATTACTCACTAGATAGACTATGTGTAGCTCATTCTCCAGAACAAAACACTGTCTAACACATTACTCACTAGATAGACAATGTGTAGTTCATTCTCCAGAACAAAACACTGTCTAACACATTACTCACTAGATAGACTATGTGTAGCTCATTCTCTAGAACAAAACACTGTCTAACACCTTACTCACTAGATAGACTATGTGTAACTCATTCTCCAGAACAAAACACTGTCTAACACGTTACTCACTAGATAGACAATGTGTAGCTCATTCTCCAGAACAAAACACTGTCTAACACATTACTCACTAGATAGACTATGTGTAGTTCATTCTCTAGAACAAAACACTGTCTAACACATTACTCACTAGATACTGTAAACGTGGAAATTTTGACGATGTGCTAATTTTTACTATATTGACGATTTTACCTTTCTCGTCATAATTTACACTCGTCAAACTTATCATCATAATTTATATATAGCGTCATACAGACATTGACCATTGTACAACATTAAAGCTTAGTTTTCTCGGCTTTCCTCTATAAAAACTAGATCAAACTTATTTTTAATATCGTTTGTAATTAGTTATGAAAACATAGTGATATATAAGCACATATTTTAAAAAGAAATCATTTTATCCAATACTGCATGCCTAACTTAGCGTAATTATCACGCCATGTTTGACCTAGTTTGTCACCTCAGGCAATTGACCGCTTGTAATAAAAACGAATTACAATTAGGAAGGCAGTTTATTTAATCAAATCTTACAAACTTAGATAGTTTGCGCAATCTTACACACTGAAGATGGTCTGTACAAAAATTAAATTTTAGTGATTCAGACGCTTCCTTTGTATCCCTGTGAATTTAAAGATACATAACTCTAGATTAAATATTTCGTCAAAATTAACACTCGTCAATTTTCGTAAACAAAAAATCGTCAATTTTTCAACTCGTCAATATAACCACGTTTACAGTAGACTATGTGTAGTTCATTCTCCAGAACAAAACACTGTCTAACACATTACTCACTAGATAGACTATGTGTAGTTCATTCTCCAGAACAAAACACTGTCTAACACATTACTCACTAGATAGACTATGTGTAGCTCATTCTCTAGAACAAAACACTGTCTAACACATTACTCACTAGATAGACTATGTGTAGTTCATTCTCTAGAACAAAACACTGTCTAATACATTACTCACCAGATAGACTATGTGTAGTTCATTCTCTAGAATAAAACACTGTCTAACACATTACTCACTAGATAGACAATGTGTAGTTCATTCTCTAGAACAAAACACTGTCTGACACATTACTCACTAGATAGACTATGTGTAGCTCATTCTCCAGAACAAAACACTGTCTAACACATTACTCACTAGATAGACTATGTGTAGTTCATTCTCTAGAACAAAACACTGTCTAATACATTACTCACCAGATAGACTATGTGTAGTTCATTCTCTAGAATAAAACACTGTCTAACACATTACTCACTAGATAGACAATGTGTAGTTCATTCTCTAGAACAAAACACTGTCTGACACATTACTCACTAGATAGACTATGTGTAGCTCATTCTCCAGAACAAAACACTGTCTAACACATTACTCACTAGATAGACTATGTGTAGCTCATTCTCTAGAACAAAACACTGTCTAACACATTACTCACTAGATAGACCATGTGTAGTTCATTCTCCAGAACAAAACACTGTCTAACACATTACTCACTAGATAGACTATGTGTAGCTCATTCTCTAGAACAAAACACTGTCTAACACCTTACTCACTAGATAGACTATGTGTAGCTCATTCTCTAGAACAAAACACTGTCTAACACCTTACTCACTAGATAGACAATGTGTAGCTCATTCTTCAAAACAAAACACTGTCTTACATATTACTCACTAGATAGACAATGTGTAGCTCATTCTCCAGAACAAAACACTGTCTAACACATTACTCACTAGATAGACAATGTGTAGCTCATTCTCTAGAACAAAACACTGTCTAGCATATTACTCACTAGATAGACTATGTGTAGCTCATTCTCTAGAACAAAACACTGTCTAACACATTACTCACTAGATAGACTATGTGTAGCTCATTCTCTAGAACAAAACACTGTCTAACACATTACTCACTAGATAGACAATGTGTAGCTCATTCTCTAGAACAAAACACTGTCTAGCTTTCTGTAGTTCAGCAAACACAGTCAGACCTTCATCTGGAGAAAGACTTGAGGCTAGTACAGCTGCACCGAGCTGAGTGGGAACAAACCGATCCTCTGTTGTAGTACCATCTATAACAAATAATGTGAGGTGATTTCATCTACCCAAGGAGAATAATATTTCAATCAATTGTATGGAGCATGAAGAACCAATGTACTTTCATGAGTATTAAATGACACAGAAAAATTCTTTTTTATCCTACTTTTAGTCTAGTTAATACCCTTGATATTATTCAATTGAAAAATCAGTTGAAAACACTACATACATGTAACCATCTGAGAAGCATAATGTTTGTTTTCTGTTGAGGAGAATGACTCTGCTATGCTTACCTTCTGTTTAAGATTTCTGAAGAGACACAAACTCGTTGTCCTGAAGGAACTGTATACAGGCATCAATCATGTCCTGTGTCTGGTCAGAGCTGGTCTCCAGGGACGCCACTAACATAGTACAGGAGGCATAGGCCGCCACATCTGTCACAGACACTGCCACACCACTGACAACTATCTGTATAATGTATATATAGATAAAACATAGTACAGGAGGCATAGGCTGCCACATCTGTCACAGACACTGCCACACCACTGACAACTATCTGTATAATGTATATATAGATATATAATAAGTACAGGAGGTATAGGCTGCCACATCTGTCACAGACACTGCCACACCACTGACAACTATCTGTATAATGTATATAAAGATATAACATAGTACAGGAGGCATAGGCTGCCACATCTGTCACAGACACCGCCACATCACTGACTACTATCTGTATATGTTTATATAGATATAACATAGTACAGGAGGTATAGGCTGCCACATCTGTCACAGACACTGCCACACCACTGACAACTATCTGTATAATGTATATATAGATATAACATAGTAAAGGAGGCATAGGCCGCCACATCTGTCACAGACACCGCCACATCACTGACTACTATCTGTATAATGTATATATAGATATAACATAGTACAGGAGACATAGGCTGCCACATCTGTCACAGACACCGCCACACCACTGACAACTATCTGTATAATGGATATATAGATATAACATAGTACAGAAGGCAAAGGCCGCCACATCTGTCACAGACACCGCCACACCACTGACAACTATCTGTATTATGTATATATAGATATAACATAGTACAGGAGGTATAGGCTGCCACATCTGTCACAGACACTGCCACACCACTGACAACTATCTGTATAATGTATATATTATAGATATAACATAGTACAGGAGGCATAGGCTGCCACATCTGTCACTGACACCAACACACCACTGACAACTATCTGTATAATGTATATATAGATATAACATAGTACAGGAGGCATAGGCTGCCACATCTGTCACAGACACCAACACACCACTGACAACTATCTGTATAATGTATATATAGATATAACATAGTACAGGAGGCATAGGCTGCCACATCTGTCACAGACACTGCCACACCACTGACAACTATCTGTATAATGTATATATAGATATAACATAGTACAGAAGGCATAGGCTGCCACATCTGTCACAGACACCGCCACACCACTGACAACTATCTGTATAATGTATATATAGATATAACATAGTACAGGAGGCATAGGCTGCCACATCTGTCACAGACACCAACACACCACTGACAACTATCTGTATAATGTATATATAGATATAACATAGTACAAGAGGCATAGGCTGCCACATCTGTCACAGACACCAACACACCACTGACAACTATCTGTATAATGTATATATAGATATAACATAGTACAGGAGGCATAGGCTGCCACATCTGTCACAGACACTGCCACACCACTGACAACTATCTGTATAATGTATATATAGATATAACATAGTACAGGAGGCATAGGCCGCCAAATCTGTCACAGACACCGCCACACCACTGACAACTATCTGTATAATGTATATATAGATATAACATAGTACAGAAGGCATAGGCTGCCACATCTGTCACAGACACTGCCACACCACTGACAACTATCTGTATAATGTATATATAGATATATAATAGTACAGGAGGCATAGACTGCCACATCTGTCACAGACACCGCCACACCACTGACAACTATCTGTATAATGTATATATAGATATAACATAGTACAGGAGGTATAGGCCGCCACATCTGACACAGACACCGCCACACCACTGACAACTATCTGTATAATGTATATATAGATATAACATAGTACAGGTGACATAGGCCGCCACATCTGTCACAGACACCGCCACACCACTGACAACTATCTGTATAATGTATAAATAGATATAACATAGTACAGGAGGCATAGGCCGCCACATCTGTCACTGACACTGCCACACCACTGACAACTATCTGTATAATGTATATATAGATATAACATAGTACAGGAGGCATAGGCCGCCACATCTGTCAAAGACACCGCCACACCACTGACAACTATCTGTATAATGTAAATATAGATATAACATAGTACAGGAGACATAGGCCGCCGCATCTGTCACAGACACTGCCACACCACTGACAACTATCTGTATAATGTATATATAGATATAACATAGTAGAGGAGGCAAAGGCCGCCACATCTGTCACAGACACCGCCAAACCACTGACAACTATCTGTATAATGTATATATAGATATAACATAGTACAGGAGGCATAGGCTGCCACATCTGTCACAGACACAGCCATACCATTGACAACTATCTGTATAATGTATATATAGATATAACATAGTACAGGAGGCATAGGCTGCCACATCTGTCAGAGACACCACAACACCACTGACAACTATCTGTATAATGTACATATAGATATAACATAGTACAGGAGGCATAGGCTGCCACATCTGTCAAAGACACCGCCACACCACTGACAACTATCTGTATAATGTACATATAGATATAACATAGTACAGGAGGCATAGGCTGCCACATCTGTCAAAGACACCGCCACACCACTGACAACTATCTGTATAATGTAAATATAGATATAACATAGTAGAGGAGGCATAGGCCGCCACATCTGTCACAGACACCGCCACACCACTGACAACTATCTGTATAATGTATATATAGATATAACATAGTACAGGAGGCATAGGCCGCCACATCTGTCACAGACACCGCCACACCACTGACAACTATCTGTATAATGTATATATAGATATAACATAGTACAGGAGGCATAGGCTGCCACATCTGTCACAGACACCGCCACACCACTAACAACTATCTGTATAATGTATATATAGATATAACATAGTACAGGAGGCAAAGGCCGCCACATCTGTCACAGACACCGCCACACCACTGACAACTATCTGTATAATGTATATATAGATATAACATAGTACAGGAGGCATAGGCTGCCACATCTGTCACAGACACAGCCATACCACTGACAACTATCTGTATAATGTATATATAGATGTAACATAGTACAGGAGGCATAGGCTGCCACATCTGTCAGAGACACCACAAAACCACTGACAACTATCTGTATAATGTACATATAGATATAACATAGTACAGGAGGCATAGGCCGCCACATCTGTCACAGACACAACCACACCACTGACAACTATCTGTATAATGTATATATAGATATAACATAGTACAGAAGGCATAGGCCGCCACATCTGTCACAGACACCACCACACAACTGACAACTATCTGTATAATGTATATATAGATATAACATAGTACAGGAGGCATAGGCTGCCACATCTGTCACAGACACCGCCACACCACTGACAACTATCTGTATAATGTATATATAGATATAACATAGTACAGAAGGCATAGGCCGCCAAATCTGTCACAGACACCGCCACACCACTGACAACTATCTGTATAATGTATATATAGATATAACATAGTACAGAAGGCATAGGCTGCCACATCTGTCACAGACACCGCCACACCACTGACAACTATCTGTATAATGTATATATAGATATAACATAGTACAGGAGGCATAGGCTGCCACATCTGTCACAGACACTACCACACCACTGACAACTATCTGTATAATGTATATATAGATATAACATAGTACAGGAGGCATAGGCTGCCAAATCTGTCACAGACACCGCCACACCACTGACAACTATCTGTATTATGTATATATAGATATAACATAGTACAGGAGGCATAGGCTGCCACATCTGTCACAGACACCCCCACACCACTGACAACTATCTGTATAATGTATATATAGATATAACAGAGTACAGAAGCCATAGGCTGCCACATCTGTCAGCGACACCACAACACCACTGACAACTATCTGTATAATGTATATATAGATATAACATAGTACAGGAGGCATAGGCCGCCACATCTGTCACAGACACCACCACACCACTGACAACTATCTGTATAATGTATATATAGATATAACATAGTACAGGAGGCATAGGCTGCCACATCTGTCACTGACACCGCTGCACCACTGACAACTATCTGTATAATGTATATATAGATATAACATAGTACAGGAGGCATAGGCTGCCACATCTGTCACAGACACCGCCACACCACTGACAACTATCTGTATAATGTATATATAGATATAACATAGTACAGGAGGCATAGGCTGCAACATCTGTCACAGACACCGCCACACCACTGACAACTATCTGTATAATGTATATATAGATATAACATGGTACAGGAGACAAAGGCTGCCACATCTGTCACAGACACCGCCACACAACTGACAACTATCTGTATAATGTATATATAGATGTAACATAGTACAGGAGGCATAGGCTGCCACATCTGTCACAGACACCGCCACACCACTGACAACTATCTGTATAATGTATATATAGATATAACATAGTACAGGAGGCATAGGCTGCCTTATCTGTCATGGACACCGCCACACCACTGACTACTATCTGTATAATGTATATATAGATATAACATAGTACAGAAGGCATAGGCTGCCACATCTGTCACGGACACCGCCACACCACTGACAACTATCTGTATAATGTATATATTGATATAACATAGTACATGAGGCATAGGCTGCCACATCTGTCACAAACACCGCAACACCACTGACTACTATCTGCATAATGTATGTATAGATATAACATAGTACAGGAGGCACAGGCTGCCACATCTGTCACAGACACTGCCACACCACTAACAACTATCTGTATAATGTATATATAGATATAACATAGTAGAGGAGGCATAGGCCGCCACATCTGTCACAGACACCACCACACCACTGACAACTATCTGTATAATGTATATATAGATATAACATAGTACAGGAGGCATAGGCTGCCACATCTGTCACAGACACTGCAACATCACTAACAACTATCTGTATAATGTATATATAGATATAACATAGTACAGGAGACATAGGCTGCCACATCTGTCACAGACACCGCCACACCACTGACAACTATCTGTATAATGTATATATAGATATAACATAGTACAGGAGGAATAGGCTGCCACATCTGTCACAGACACCGCCACACCACTGACAACTATCTGTATAATGTATATATAGATAGAACATAGTACAGGAGGCATAGGCCGCCACATCTGTCACAGACACCGCGACACCACTGACAACTATCTGTATAATGTATATATAGATATAACATAGTACAGGAGGCATAGGCCGCCACATCTGTCACTGACACCGCCACACCACTGACAACTATCTGTATAATGTATATATAGATATAACATAGTACAGGAGGCATAGGCTGCCACATCTGTCACAGACACCGTCACACAACTGACAACTATCTGTATAATGTATATATAGATATAACATAGTACAGGAGGCATAGGCTGCCACATCTGTCACAGACACCGCCAAACCACTGACAACTATCTGTATAATGTATATATAGATATAACATAGTACAGGAGGCATAGGCTGCCACATCTGTCACAGACACCGCCACACAACTGACAACTATCTGTATAATGTATATATAGATATAACATAGTACAGGAGGCATAGGCCGCCACATCTGTCACAGACACCGCCAAACCACTCATTACTGTCTGTATAATGTATAAAGAGGTCGAGGAAACTACCTAAATGGATATTATTACGATTGTGCGCAGAGGTGCTCACAGCAAACAATTGTCCAATCCAGTGAATGAGCCGAAAAGCATGATGGTCTACTACATGTTTATTGTCCCCCGCTTTAGCGAAAGCGGGGGGACATTAAATCTTATTCGTATGTCCGTCAGTCTGTCCGTAACAAAAACTTTAACCTTGCCCATAACTTTTGATTTAGTGGAGCTATGACTTTCATATTTCACATGTGTATTCCTTGTGACAAGACCTTTCTTTGAGTATCACCAAATCTGACCTTTTGACCTTGACCTTGGAGGTTGACCCACTTTTACACAAAAATTTCAAACTTTTACTTTGGCCATAACTTTTGAATAGTAGGTACTAGGACTTTCATATTTCACATATGTATTGTTTGTGGCAAAATCTTTCATTGGATAACAACAACCTTGACCTTTTGACCTTGGAGATTTACGTACTTATGAAAAAAAACTTTAACCTTGACCAGAACATTTGAACGGTGGGGGCTAGGGCTTTTGTACTTTACATATGTAATCCCTGTGAGAAGACCTTTCATTGGATACCAATAACTTTTACCCTTTGACCTTGACCTTGAAGTTTTATTACTTTTTAAAAACTTTAACCTTGGTCACAACATTTAACCATTAGATAGTTGGACTTTAATATTTCACATATGTATTGCTTGTGGCATTTCATTGGATATCAACAACCTTGACCTTTTGACCTTGGAGATACACGTACTTATGAAAAATCTTTAACCTTGACCATAACTTTTGAACGGTGGGGGCTAGGGCTGTCGTACTTCACATATGTTTTCCTTTTGAAAAGACCTTTTATTGGATACCAACAACTTTTACCCTTTGACCTTGACATTGGAGTTTTAACTACTTTTAAAAAAAACTTCAACTTTGAACACAACTTTTGAACGGTAAATATAGGACTATTATATTTTAAATATGTATTCTTTGTGGCTAGTCCTTTCATTGGATATCAACAAATTTGATCATTTGACTTTGACCTTAAAGATTTACGTACTTATAAAAAAAACTTTAACCTTGACCATAAATTTTGAACAGTAAGGGCTAGGGCTTTCATACTTCACATATGTAATCCTTGTGAGAAAACCTTTCATTGGATATCAACAATTTTGACCCTTTGATCTTGACCTTGGAGTTGACCTACTTTTAAAAAACTTTTTACTTTGGCCATAACTTTTTAATGGTCAGAATAAGGTTTTCATCATTAAAAAAATCAACTTCAAAGTTACTTTCTAAATAAATGACATATGATAGGATGTTCATATTACACAGAATATTTCATAAAGATAACATCTCACCCACAAAGACACCAAAAGCGGGGGACCACAATTCTTTGAATTTGCTTGTTTTTACTACAAACAAGTGGCTCAGGGAATTTTAGGACGCAATTTCAAACGACTGCAGGAAAGTCAGCTAACAATTTTTTTGAAATTTATTATGAAAAATACGAAGATTGGGTACTTATTAAGATTCCCCATGCTCACATTAACAAACAAAGTAAGTTTTCCTTGTTAAATAGAACTGTGAAATACCGCTCACAAAGTCTTCACTAGTAAATAAGACTCAAGTTTTTGAACTCGATATTCGTTAATATGACATGTAACTGGTTAAATTTATGAAGTTGTTGCTCAGTTATTTGTTACAAGAAATTAAAACTTGCATTTTATGAAAAAAAATTCTTAAGTTTGATTTTTTTTATTATTTACCTGTTATATAAACCATCATGCACATTAAGAACTTGAGTAGCATATACCGGTATTTCGAGGTTGTGTACGTTATAAACATTGACAATACGTGAGCACACCTCAGAGTTGATTGTTTTTGGACCAAGGAATAGTCACGTGAAATTGACTTTTCACTGACAGTACAGCTATATCGCACGGGGAAAGCTGTCAACAAATGGACTTGTACAATGGAGTGCAGAAAACCCTAATTTTTATCATTGTAAATCATTTTTATATAAATGTGAGCATGGAATCAGTATATAATGATGTTCATATTGTTTTAAGTGTGTAAAATGCTTGAAAAATGCATCACGTTTTTCCGAGTGCGATTTAAAAAATTGGCCTTTTAGAAACACACGTGTAGTATTTTTGTAGTAGACAATAATGCAACTCATTGAGCTGATTGGTCGATTTGTCAGTCACGTTGGTTCCTCACTTAACATGTAAATTTATTCCGACGTCACAGAAAATAGTTTCCTCGACCTGATAAAATAACACATAAAATAATGAAACCACTGATAACTATATGTATACAGTTATGTATAAACATGAGATACGAACAATCCTTCACACATACGATTCTACACATTACATGATCTTACACGATTGCAAAGTTTAACACAAATACACGATTCTTCATGCAAAATAGTTCAAAATATTTAGGAATGGATATTTTGAAAACAATATACGAAAGAAGCTCTAATACTTGAAAATGTTTGATTGTGCATATTTTAGATTTCATATAATGATTGAAATTATTTCACCAAGTTGAACTTAAAAAACAGAAATTGCTATATATTTCTGGAACTAAATAGAATTACATTGAGGAATGATTTATTTTAGATTACAAATAAATATTTACGTATTTTATCCAACTTAAGAAAACTTTTCTTTTATTGTTCTATCGGAAGATGTAAATTTAGGTGGATTGTGAGTTTTGATTAAATTGGATTTCATAAAATGCAGAAATTAAGGAGGAATAGATAGTTTTCGATAGGCCTGAATTTAGCGAAAGTTATCTCCCGTTGGCCGCCATACTGAGAGTCGACTCAGTGATTTTCTCTCTTTGTTTTACCAAGTTTAAGAAAACATAGCAGAAATATTTGGTGGAAAATCTTTATCACATAATTTCTGTTATATAAAGGAGACTTCCAAAAATTTATATACTTCAGAAAAATAATGATTTCTTATTCAAAATAGCAAATATAAAAATTTTTAATAGGTTGAACAATGAAGAAATATGAGCATTTGGACCTCCAATATGGCGGCCAACGGGAAGTAACTCTTGGTCAATCGAAAACTATCTATAAGATTTATTAAATGAGCCAAACATGATAATGAATCATGAGTAATATTCATGTTTCCATTTGAAAATCAGCAATTATTTTACAAATCATTTATTTGCAAAAATTATTTAAATAATTAAAAGTTAAAACTCCAGATATAAACACTGAGAACTGGACCCCGACAATCATGCCGTGTACATGTACATTCACCGAATACATAATAATGTATGCCTTAAGAATCAATATATTCTATGTAAGAAATGTGTATTTTTATTTAATAATTTTTAAAATATCCTACTACAATTTTCAATCAGCATAATTTACATCAGAAAATAAAAAATTGAAGCACTGATGAAAGCAAAATGTCGTGCTATTTGACGAGAACATAATACTGTACAACTTTTGATTTTGATTTTTACAATCGGTAATAAGCTTGTTCTTCTTTCAATTTATATGTTAATCGGGCTTCATTTACTTCATTTGGATATTAAAAAAAAAACACCAAGCAAAATGAATGCTTCCAGTCCTTAACATATTATCATTATTATAAAAACTTACAATTTTACAGGCTTCTAAACTCACAATCACGCAGGATTAAAATTGCAAATGACTGAGTCTGATACACGCACGATCTCACACGTTACATGAACAATCATGCACGATACATGGACGATTCTACACAATTGGTTTGTCAACAATAATGTTGCAGCCACTGTAACACACAAATAATGACATAACTGACAACTATCAATAAAACACACAAAATAATGTATAATACATAATAGGAGGCATAGACTGCCACAACTGTCACTGACACTGCTATAAATGAAATTATTAGATAATAATTACTATTTCACACCCTGAACAAGTACATATTATGATTGTCCTTTGCCGACTGTCTAGAAAATTTATCCTGCTGCAGAATTTAATTTAACTTTGAAAATGTTTTTTAAAAATTTATTAGCATATTATGATAATATTTAGATTAAATCCAATAACAATCAACATAAAAATATTGTTACACGTCAAAAGAAATTTAACTATCTAAGCTAACCATTTCTTTGCTACCGTTTTTATTCACAATAACAAATGGAATCAGGCTGCATCACAAACCTCTAATATGGCTCTTTTCATGCTAGAACTGAGTTGTTTCCCTTGGTGTTTGATCAGGCAACTCCTGACAGGTGGCAGTTCAGACTGTACTAAGGTCACGGCTTTACTTCTCTCACTGGGCTTACAGATCAGGATACTCTCACCTATAATTGTGTATTGTAATTAATGAATTATTTAATTACTATAAAAATGATATTTCTCCTTAAACAAACATGTTACAAAGAGTACAGCTGTATATGATGGGTCCTTGAAGTAAAATTAGTACACATTCAAATATTACATTGTAAAATTAAAATCATTTTTTAAAAATGATTTTAATTTTACCATTGTTTACAATGTAATATTTGAATGTGTACTAATTTTACTTCAAGGACCCATCAAAAAAATTTTTAAATTATCATAAGCTGTGAAAATTGATTAGTTAAGAGAATTTTTTTTTGAAATTTCAAGTCAAGAATTTTTTTTTAAAGAATTGACAAAAGGATATTTGTCATTAAAATTGTAATTTGTATATGTACATGCAGACCAAATCAGTCTACAATTTAAATTCTTGCATTAAAGAAAGTTCCTATTTCTTTTTAAAGACAAATAATATATATATAATAAAGATATAATAACAGTAATATCAATTTATTGATCAAAATGTTGTTCATGGGTAGATACATCAGGTAAAATCAATATTTCTACAGGAGAGATTTAAAAAAAACTTATCTTCAGAACAATTAATGTATTTTTAAACAAGTAAATATTTTTTTTCCAAATTTACTTTTTTGTCAACATCATACATACAGGTATATAGAAAATAAAATTTTTCAAATCAAGTTTAGGCCAAATATAATTTGAAATTGCTAAATGATATCAATACCCTCAATCATGTGCATGTACAGGTATTTAAATCATGTGAACTGAAAGTAGGTCAAAATTTAGAACCAAGACCAGGAAGTTGATTGTTAGTCTCTATTATGTAGTCAGGACAGCCATCTTGTAATAACAGGTGAGACTCAATAATTATTTTACGATTCTGAATTTGTGTAAAATTAAAAAATGATTAAAAATTTAAAAAGTTTTCTTATAAAAAATGACATATAATTTATAAATGTCTTGATGTGCTGATCCAGTAAAGCAATAAAGAGCTGCGTGTTATCACTGTATATAATCATGTATCCCCTCCTATCAACACTTACTAATTCATGTCAATTTTGAGCTTATATAAAAATCTTTCTTTTTATGAAGTCAAAGTGATAATTAATACACTATATTACAGCACTGCCTTCATCATGTGACAGACCCCTAAAATGGACCCCCGTTACAGTGCCCAAGACATCCTCCTCTGTGACTTGTGTCAAAAAGCTGCATTACAGAGTCATTGTGAACTTTGTCATGTAAATCTCTGTATAGTCTGTGTTGGAAAACATCTCTTTGATTCGTCCAAAAGACACAATGTTGTACCATACAAACACAGAACTTCTACCCCTAACTACCCAAAATGTACAAACCACACCCAGAAACACTGTGAACTTTACTGTGAGAAATGTGACATTCCTGTCTGTTCTACCTGTATCTCCTCTGGGAAACACAAAGGACATGATTTATCTGATGCTCTGCAGAAACTCAGTTCTAAAAGAAAGTATTTTAAAAAAGACTTAAAGAACTAGAGAAAACAATCTTTCCTATATATGAAGAAATTGCATTAGATTTAAACTCTGAAAAAGAAAACTTAGAGAAACATTATGAGAAACTGACAACAGCTGTCACCAAACAAGGAGAAGACTGGCACAGAGAAATTAACATCATTGTCAACAAACAGAAATCTGAAATTGATGAGATGAAATCTAAACATCTGGCTGCTCTAAAAAAACAGGAAAATGAAATCAAAGAGATTACTTCTGATTTAAAAAAAAACATACATGATCTGAGGAAAATACTGGACTACAATGATGTCTCCCTTACCTCTGCATACAAATCCAGGAATGCTGAATTCAGAAGTTTGCCTCCTAAAGTAAACGTTTTATTACCAAGTTTCTCTCCTCATCAGATCAACACAGAACAGCTCCATCAAATGTTTGGTTCTCTGTCAGCATTATCCATTACAACAGAAGAACATGGCTACACAATGAAGACACCAGAAGCTGTATCCTGTCCTCCAGTCAAACCACTGCTTGATGAACCAGAGCTCATCACCACCATAGACACTGGGTATAACTTACTAAACAGTGTAACCTGTCTCAGTGATGAAGAAATCTGGACACGTGGAAATGACAAAATCATGAAACTCTACAACCTCCAGGGCAAACTACTGAAGTCAATCCAAACCAAGTCAGGGAACACACCACGTGACATAGCAGTGACAAGGAGTGGAGATCTAGTTTATACTGACCCTGATACAAGAACTGTAAACATAGTGAAGAATGACCAGATACAAGAAGTGATCAGACTACGGGGTGGATACCTTACAATGTCTGTAGTACCTCCTCTGGTGACCTCCTGGTTACCATGGTCAGTGATGAAGAAGAACAATATAAAGTTGTCCGTTACTCTGGCTCCACAGAGCAACAAACCATTCAGTTTGATAGTGAAGGTAAACCTCTGTATTCATCTGGTGACTGTACTAAATACATAAGTGAGAACAGGAACCTGGATATCTGTGTGGCTGACTATGGAGCCTGTGCAGTAGTGGTGGTTAATCAGGCAGGGAAACTCCGATTTAGATACACTGGTCATCCCTCTACTAACAAGGGATCATTTGATCCATACGGCATCACAACAGACAGCAAGAGTCAGATCCTGACTGCAGATTTTAAAAACAACTGTATCCACATCCTAGATCAGGATGGACAGTTCCTCCATTACATTGATAACTATGATCTACAGCTTCCACATGGTTTATGTGTAGACACCAGAGACAACCTCTTTGTGGCTGAGAGTGGCAATGTTAAAGTGAAGAAAATCAAATACATGTAAAAGATCCACCATAACTGTAAATTATTAAATACCATGTTTGTTTTAATCATGACCAATTGAAGTAATTATATGGAAGAAACTATGTGTAAAAATTGTATACAATCATCTTTAATGGATTAACATTGTTATGGAATAAACTGTGTTGTTTCTTTATGATCATTTTTACAATAATGTTAGGTGTTGTATATAATTGCCTCTAGGCAGAGAATTAATATAAAATTAAACAAACTGTAAAATACTGGTGGAGATGATATACAATATCAGTTGAACATTATATATGATGGAATGTATAACCTTACACTGAATGTCAATTTCAAAACTCTAAAAAAAGATTATATGTCATGTATGACTTGGCTGCTTGGAAGTTAAAAGTAAAGAGGATGTTCAAGTTTGTGTAGACAGAAATTTTTTCTCATTGGTTTATGCATTTTGAACTGTATTATCGATTGATATAATTTATAACTCCTATGTAACTTGTATGATATTTGTTAATCAATATAGTAGAAATAAAATATGAATGATGATTATGGTTCTATCCATGGGATAAAGAAATTTGAAGTAAAAAAAACTTAATTGAGCTCTATATACATTTTATTGAGAAGAATTATTGAGCATCAAACTCAATTTTTTTTTTTGATTAACATTGGCAAAGTTGTTCTGGAGAGATCTAAATTTTTTACAGATTGCGCAATTTACTACAAAAAAAAAATCAGCCAGTCATCATATGAGTGATGGATATTAAAATACACTGACCCTGTGTATCCACCCCCTTTCTTCCAGCTCGACCAATCATCTGCTTGTAAGTCAGGAAGTCTATGGTTTTGCCGTGGAAGATCGGGGTCCTGATGATAACACGGCGGGCAGGAAGATTGACCCCGGAGGACAGGGTGGAGGTAGCTACCAGGACCTTAACTGACCCCTGTCTGAAGGCCCCCTCTAAAATGTCTCTCTCATCAAAGGTCAAACCTGCAAGATCAAAGGTCAAATCAAAAAGATCAAAGGTCAAATAAAAAAGATCAAAGGTCAAACCTGCAAGATCGAGTCACAAATATCTGTCAATAGTGGATTTGAAATATGATTATTACACTACTCAAATGAAAGAAGTGCCATGAATATTACTGAAAATGTTGGATTATTACTGATGCTGTGCTGTCCTTGCCAATTAATACTGATATTTACTGTCATCATTCTTGTTGTTGCTGATAATTTTAGCTGTTACTGATAAATACTGATAATTGCTGTAGTCTTCACCATTTACTTTGTTAAAACAATAACCAAAATTGGCAAAATATTTGTAACACTCTTTCAATTCTTGATGGAGGCAATCTGATGTGAAACATGCATCAACTGACAATCACAATACCTGCGTGATGATAGGCCACCCCGTACGGCACGGTCTTCCCCAGGGTAGAGTCTAACCCCACAGGAGTCCTCCTCAGTTGTTCTATGACCTCCATCAGGGAGGGTCTGTTCAGGGGTAGAGGGGAGGTACAGTCTGTCTCAGGACCTGACAATGTAAAACAGAAGTCAATAATGTATAGAAATCATCACTGAGTAAAGATGAATTAATCAGAGTAAAGCAGAAATTACAAAGTAAACCAAAATTTATCAAACACTGAACCTTGATAACATATAGATAGTTCCTCTGACCCATTATCGAGACAGTCTAGGACACATACATTGTACATACCACTTAGGAAAACAAGCTTTTCCTTTCATCCTCACCTTTCTTCAGAATGTTGTAAAACTCCCTGGCAATGGTCTCTGCCAACTTCTCACACCAGTTCTTTGTCGGACAGAAAATAAGCACTGAGTGTCCCCCACCCAATGTTTCTAAGCACAATGGAATCACATGATCTGTATCCCCTTTACACACCACTCTCAGATCCACCTCTCTGATTTTCTGTAGACTGGAATCAAAGATGTCTGCCCCCAGTTTGACACACTCCGTGAGAGGTACGGGGCGGTAGTCTGTGCGGTAGAGCGTGGCGTCCAGCCAGTGAGACAGAAGGTCAAGGTTAGGTAAGGTGGCACTCATACCTACAATCTGGACTCCTTCTGTACAGCTTAAAAAAAGACAATGTAAAAGTAAATTCTTTCAAAAGTCTGAAATTTACAAACTAAAATTGAAAAGAACTATTATGTAATCAGTTAACATATGGTGTTAGTACTTTATTTTTGCCATGAAGTAAATAATTGGCAAAGTCCATGTTCATTACCCAGAATCCTCAGTGTCGGTTGTTTTTGTTAACTTTTTCTGACTGAGGAATCGGATCTTGGTGAGCATCAGTTCTAACAGGTAGCCCCTGTGTTGGTCTCCTACAAGGTGTAACTCGTCCACCACTATAATACCTGGTGGACAGGTGAGAAAAGTTAATTTAAATAATATAATTTTAATTCTAGATGTGGAGTCAAACTAAAGAGGCTGGGAAGTCAAATTAACCATCAGATATAATATCTTTTAAGATGTCAACTATCATTCGCCAAACAAAAAAAAGTTTTAAAATTTGATCATTTTTTGTATATATATTTCCAAGAAGCTCTTCTTCAGATCAAAGTGGTCTGAAAATGGCCCCAACCTGAACCACCCAGCCCTCTTAACATGAGTTGAACTTTCCATATCTTAAACACCCATTTATATCTTGTTGATGCTGTATGACAACAGACCTAGCTCGTTGATGCTGTATGACAACAGACCTAGCTCGTTGATGCTGTATGACAACAGACCTAGCTTGTTGATGCTGTTTTCCTCCATCAGTCTGTTGATCAGTCCGTTTCCTTTTTCTATGGTACACACTGCTATGTCCACCTGACTAAGCCCCCCAGGAGGGGAGTAACTCCCCATAAACCCGCTCACTACCACCCCCACATCCTGGAACAACTGCTGTAAACAAACAATAAAAAGATTTAGACTAAGTGTAACTCCCCTGTAAAAAAACAATAAAAAGATTTAGTGCAACTCCCCATAAACCCACTCACTACCACCCCCCACATCCTGAAACACTTGCTGTAAACAAAAATTAAAATGATTTAAGATTTAGTAGAGAATTCCAAGGATAGAGATCTACATATACATAGAGCAATTACTGTAAATTTGTACTTATATGCAAGGAATTTTTTACTGCATAAATTTCACGAGAAACACCATTAGCAAAATAAAAGTACTCCATTGCTTCATTTTTTTTTGGTGATTAAATCCATGAAAAATGTCTTGATCAACAGTCTTCTCATGGGATAATTGTTTCTAATAGCCATTTTGGGGTAATAAGTACTGGCAAAAAATAAGGAATCTACAGTATAACCTACTTGTAAAAAAAAAATTAGCAGCTGACCTAGTTACCTGTTGATATGAATGTCAGGAACAGTAAATAGAACATCTTCTCTCTGGCCACAGACACAAAAGGTAAGATAAAGATGGCTTTCTTCTTTGTTTCTAGGACTCGCTTCAGAACCAGGAGTTCAGCCACCATTGTTTTACCAGCACTGGTCGGGGCCGAATATACCAGGTTACCTCCCCCTAGAATTATACGGAAATAAAGAAAGATGGAAAACCCTGGGGGCTGAGTATACCAGGTTACCTCCCCCTAGAATTACACAGAAATAACAAAGATAGATAACTCTGCAGAACAATAGTTGGGGGGCTGAGTATACCAGGTTACCTCCCACAATAAGTAAATAATATCTGATCATAACAAGGAGCACATGGAAGGTGATGCTAACTCTATCAGGCACCTGATCCCAACTGATGTTTTAGTGGTCACGTGTTTAACAAAGATCAGATTCTCCTGAATGGACTTTAGAGCTGGATTTGTGTAATATATTTCAAAAAACAAATTAACTTAAATTTTATTGGGGGCTGATCTAAATTTAATTCCCTAGAATTACACAGAAATAACAAAATTAACTCTGCAAAAAAGATACAGGGAGGGGGCATTTTATTTTTCATTTTGTTGGCAAAAAAGTAGATGAGGGAGATATTTTTTTTAATTCCAATTTCCGAATTTTCTTTAACTTAAAGATAATTTTTTTAATCATAGATATATTTTCATTTCTGGTTAAAATTTCTGCTTTATCCATTGATTAACAGCGTGTAAACATTGTAGGTAATGTCCTCGAATTACGAATGTATTTTCAAACGAAGTAGCCAAAATCTCATTGTAAATGTACTGAACGTGATATTTGTATACTAAACTACGAACAAATGAGGTCAGAATTTTTTTTCTCGGATTGGGCTCCATAATACCAACTTTTTATTTTTTCAAAAATACAATAAAATCGGCAATGCGGCTACCTAAAAACGGATGCGCGCGGGCCTGAGAACCAAGATTTCAATTTTATATGGCCTTAATGAAATTTTCATGCAAGTGACAAAAACTGAAATTTTATATACTGGTATTCTTAAAGGCATTTAAAAAAAAATAATGTTGCCACTACAAATCATCATTGATTAGGAAAGCAAAAACTATCTTTTTTTCTATGCCTAGATTACTCAAAACAATGTTAGTGGTTATGAGTAATATCCATATTGATTGAGTTATATCCATAATTCATTACAATTTCACTCACCTAGAACCCCGGGTAAACACAGACATTCTGCTTGCCAGGAAAACATTGAGGTGATCCCCTTATCTGTGTACTGTTTTAACACAGGCTCAGGAAGTCCCCAGTTACTTAATAACAGCTTGTCTTCTGTCAAACCTCCATCTGTCTAAAAGAAATGTAGACAATGAAAATACATATAGAACTACATACTTAATGCTTGTAATATCTACATATGTATTTGTTTTACTCATTAAGCATCAACTATTTAGCTTCTAATGTCTACATGATATTCTATATATTAGACTAGTTCTTTCATTTATTACACATTTGAGACACTAACTGCCATTCCATGTTAGTGTATTTAAAATTTGACAATCAAAAAATAATTGATTTTCATTTTCCAGCCTAAGAAATTTTCATGTATAAAACTTACATCAACTCTTAAGAATTGGCTCACATTTATTGTCATAGATTTGAATACTGTAGAAGTACTTTTTTCCACATGGTATTAATTTACGCTATGTACGGGGTCACAAATTTTCCGCAGAAATTTACTCAACGTACATAAATGTTAGGCATATCGTGAGAAACTACAAAATACAAATAATTTTATACCCGCGGATTAAACAGAAATTGAGATTCCGCCAAATTATTATTGTGGAAAAAAGTTTGTCTACAGTAAATCATCACACTCACCAGTATGATAATAAGCATTTTCCGTCATCTCTTGATTTTCAGCAACCCTTTCCTGTGTTTCAGAACTAACGTCACAAGTATTTTCCTCTGTCCTTGACCTTTGACCTATCACATCAAGATCAATCACACTCTTCTCTTCCTCTACACCCCTTCCATCTTCTTTTACTTTGTCATTGACAATTTCATTTAACACATTCCTTGGTTTCTTTCTGTTGGGCTTTCCCCCTCTACTGAGTCTAACAGAGCTGTCTGCTGTGGAGGGGGTCTGGTTTCCCCCCCCCCTTTCTTTGTACTGGAGGATTTGTTCTGGGACGGGAAGGGGGAGAGGAAGCTGTCATTTAGGGGACTCTGGAGGGTGAACAGGGACTTCATCAGCTGGGACTGTCGTCTTGGTAACGGGGTCACACATCCTGGTGTTGATGTCAGGCCAGCTCGGATCTTATTGGCTGAAATGCGAGAACAACTCAGAATTAACCATTCAGTATACAGCTCTGATCTTATTGTCTGAAATGTGAGGACAACACAGAATTAACCAGTCAGTATACAGCTCTGATCTTTTTGTCTGAAATGTGAAGCAGGTCAACACAGAATTATCCAATCAGTAATGAATGATAATTTCTCATGAATGAGTGTAATAAAAAACTTCAAACAGGGATTTTCCACTTCCCTTGTGTCGGGCAAAATATAGGCCCCATTCTCAACATCAAGACTCCTTTTTCACAAAAATGGATTCACAAAGTTAATTTGTTCAAAGTTTTGGTAAAAAAGAAACAAGGCCAGGTTTGGGACATCTGAATGAAATGAACAAAATTTTAAGAAACTTTGAAGAAATTTTATTACTGTAATTAAAATGTACCATATATATAGCATGTACGGCATTTCGCGGATATTGAATTTTGAATAAGTTAGTATAAAGTTGATTTAGCACATTTATTCATAATTATTTTTATTTACTTGTATATGCGCAAGACATTTAGCTTTGTAATTGATTAGCAGCCCGCGCTGATCACCGTGTGCCATTAAGAATTTAACAAAATTTCACATCACTTCATTTCAACATCTTTAAAATAATGTTTTGTTATCGTTATGTAAAACAAAACTTATATATTTGGAAAGAGGATAAAGTTAACTTTTGATCTACATGATTTATGTGCATATTTTTATGACTGTTTATTAATTCATAAAAGTGTTTTTTGAAGTGTTCAAGTCAATACACACCGGTAAACATCGATAATGGAGAGTTTACAAAATCCGCGCGTGGCCTAATTTTACGGGGTTCACGAGATCTAAAATGTGGCAGTCTAAATATTTATGAATATGCATGAAATTTTTCCAACCAATCAGATCTAATGTCTCTCTTCAACATGGTAGTTGTAAGTAAACCGAACTCCAATAATTACCGAATTGAATTTATTGATTTAGCAATTGCTGCGTTCGGCCAAAGCCGCTAAAAAGAATACACAGCCAAATGTAATAAGTTTACGGTATATTAATTATGATCTATTCTCTAATTTACAGTTCTGAATAGTTAAAAGTTAGTAAAAGATCGATTCTGTTCATCATAAGTGTTTTTCTCTTGAAAACATTATGTAATAAAATTTCCCAATCCCAATTCCCAAGGGGCCCATTTAAATGTAGTAAGACTTTTTAAGCCGTGTACCACTGGTTGCAAAGAAAATGGCCAAAATAGACAATATCTCAGGTTAGACAACATTTCAAACAAATGAATTAAGTGGACTAAAAGTTAACATGGTATGAAGCAAGACTTCAGGATACACAACATCTGGATTAGTCAAGTTTCATTGTAGTAATTAATTTCATTTCAATATTCAATATTGACAATTTCTGTAATATCTATATGCAAATCCATAATAACCCTTATGCTGACCTTTCTGTGACCTTTGAGGCCTCTCTAGTGTCTCCATGGCAACCAACATCTGTTCATCCAGCTCCGTACAGAAGGAGGAAGAAAACGAGGCATCAATGTCTGACCCTGTGTTCTACAACCAAGACAATCACATGTAAGACATCAATGTCTGATTCTACACTCTAAAACAAACAAAATCACTTTTTTATATTAAAGACAAGGCATCGATGTCTGATCCTATACTCTAAAACCAAGCGATAAAATGATAGTTATTGTATATAAAGACAAAGCATCAATGTTCATAAAAACAACACATTCACAATTAAGACATCAATATTTGATCCTTCGTTCAAAAACTAAAATCAACACACAATCATATGTAAGACATTAATAGAGAGGTTAAAGTTCATACGAAACAGTTCGTAACACTAGGATTTTACTTTTTAAACATAAAGATTGGTATGAAATGATGTTAATTTACGTGTGGTAAAAATAATTTAGCTTTTGCTAAACGGAAAAATAAAGGCCTAAACTTGCCCACTTGAAGAATCTGTTACCCGCTTATCGTTCTTGATTTTGTGTTTGCATGACGTCACAACGACCCATTGATGTAAACAACGCGTTAGATCCAGTGCAATTTTACCATATTTTATTGACTTAATGTTAGTCTTTTTGTGGATATAAATGTGATTATGATTTTAGATGAGCTATCTGATTCTTAAGAGAAGTTAACTCTATTTGAATTTATCGTTAATTGGGCACAGCAACTGAAAACTAGAGCTATTCATAGTAAGATGATCCTGGTGAAAACCCTGATGAAATCAATATTTTTCGCTCCAACCAAGATTACTTACTGAGTATTTTAAATTGATACCTTAGAAACAACAATCTCCTTGCTTGTTTTTTTTTATACGTATATGATACATGTACCCCCCCCCCCTTTTCCCTAAAGAAACACGGGGATATTGAAGTTTCTGGTAAACACTGATCTATAAAAAGTCGCGTATTTGAATGCTTACTTCTGCAATCTGAAACACAAGAACTCATGAAAATGATATAGAGAAATAGGTTTATGACGACATCATCGTACTTTTGCTGTCACAAGAAACGTGATTTTAAAAAATAACCAGCATTACAAGTATGCACGTGAATATTCCTGTACTGTAATGTTACGGTACTGATAGTTCTATAACAGTTTGATGGAGTAACTGCAGTTTGAAAATACTCATACAGTGCGTGCATAAGATGATCCGTTGAAAAGAAACCCATGCCCCCATTGCCCTTTGTTTGCGAGACTGAACCTAAACAATTTTAAGAATCAAATATTTTTACAGTTAAACATTCTTTGTCGCAGAATTTAATCTTTGTTGAAATAAACTGATAAAAATTTAGAAAATTTGATTTGTAAATACATACAAAAACGTAGGACTACATATACATTATATAGAATTGCGTTTAAAGTCTGAGGCTAACTTTTTTAAATTATTACGATATAGAAAAAGGCACATAGTACATTGTTATGTGTTAATGTTCCGACTTTGGTAAAAAAAAAAATACGGGATGAGAAAGGGTCAATGAGAAAGGAAAAAACCAAAGAAGGAGTATGGAATAACTGTGAGAGGAGAAGGCGAGGTAGCGATATCATAGAATAATTTCATTTGAATAAACAGTAAATAAATGACATCATTTATCCTTAGGTGTAGTTTCACTTTCACACACCACTGTCAATCGAATCCAGCTTTACTTTTATGCGCGTGCTACCGATCGATAATCGATAGTGCTCTACCGATCGATAATCGATAGTGCTCTTATTCTGATCGTTCTTAAAAAAAATTATTGGAAATTTAACTAATCATATCTTTGTGTTAGAAATTTATTCAACTGTAATGCTATTTGACAGCCTCTATATTTATATATTACTCGAGCACAGAAGTTCTGCTCTATGGCCATTGTTTTTTCCTCCCTCTTTTTCATTATATTAGAATGTAGAAGGATGTCAATAAATTACACGGATAAAACATGCAAAAATCTTGCAAACTTGCAACAGGATGTTAAAAGACACACACCGTCTGGTATGAAAATCATATATTCATGCAAAATTTTAGTCAAGACAATGCTTTTTCTTAAAAATTACGCAGCATAAGACATGATCGGCTATTTAAATATTAGAACTGAATGTAGCGAGTGGGTCTTATTGACGTCATAAGCAAAGGGAGATAAGCCGCGCTAGTTGAAGTTCATCTTCGTATATAAAGACTCTGCTGCCTCCAACTTGCGTAAAAATTCCAAAATGTTATTTCAGGCTGATTAATGTTGCTCAGCTGAACTCATTTCCGTATACAACCCAAAATATGCAGGACATTGTTTCGTATGACCTTTAAGCATTTCACCGTGTACGTCTTCTTGTACTATAGACCTAGCAGTGATTTTACAGGGTATGCATAAATATCTGTGTTAACCCCTCTTTTATCTAAACCTACATTCGATAAATTTAAATCAACACAATCACTTCAGTGGTATTTTTTGTATGGTGTTCTCATGAACACTTACTTTATTGATGAGGGTTGCCATGGCTATAGGTTACAATCTGTAATGATCCACGATACTAGTCAGCTGTGTCTTGTCATAAAGTCTGACCTTTGGTTGTTGTAATCTTGTCATAACCTCTGACCTTTGGTTGCTGTAATCTTGTCATAACCTCTGACCTTTGGTATCTTCTCCAAAGGAATTCTAAACAACACTCATTATTTTATTATACACATTCTTTTGATAATCTCCTGTCAAAAACAATTCATATGGCTTTTATTCTAGTAACATTATTGTATGTAATACATATTTATGGGGCATTTCTTCTACTACATTAGGACCTAATTTAACTCTCTCTCTCTATCTCGCTTTGACCAGCTGTTGATGTATCCTGATCATTCATAGGCCACCTTAGTCCGAAAAATCTGACGTTTTTCTGGCTTTTTAACGATTTTGATATTTTACATGCCAGGAAAACGTCAGAACTGGCGCCATTACGAAAACTGGGAATTTCACCGCCTTCAACCGAAGTTGATTTTTTATACCTGGGAACCGAATTAAATGCCGAAATCACAATTTATCAATGGCACAATGCTACTAGAACTCACCAATAGCGATGAATAGAAATGACCACTCCACATTCCGATTCAGAACTTGCACGATTTTAAAATGCACGAAATGAAAACAAATCTCGACAGTCAGATAAAATGTGTTCATCAGATTATATTATTTCATAAACAAAACATAAAAACGATGTTGGTGAGTACTAAAGGTTTTGTATTATTGATAATATGTCAAATCAGCAAATCGGTTTACAAGTATCGAAAATCAACTTCTAAATGCCGCCTCAGGTTGGAGGCGGCGATTTCCCAGTTTTTGTAATGGCGCCGGTTCTGACGTTTTCCTGGCATGTAAAATATCGAAATCTTAAAAAAGCCAGAAAAACGTCAGATTGTTCGGACAAAGGCCACCTGTGGACCATTCTAGGAATTTTTGAGGCTATGATTTAGTGAACGAGTCATAATAAGTACACAGACAATCATCACTCGTCATTATCAAACGAAGATTTTGGTCTAAAATTAAATTGTACCTTGCATATTTTTTCTTGAAATCTGAGAAGAAACTAGGCCTACGGTTTTTTATGCCTTCCTCTTGTTCACGACATTTTGAGAATACCGCTCCCTCTCAGGAATCAGGGTTGATTTGACGCTTGCAGGTTCCGGGTTCGTTTCGCTGCTTTACTTATTCACACCCCCAGTCGTTTTTGCTTTATATATATACTTTTAATGAATAAAATAGCCGTTTCCTGTAACTTTTAAGACTTTTCAGTTTTGAGGCAGGCTGACTTTTTATTAAATTATAACTAAAAATTACTTTCTTATGAACTAACCCCAAATTAAAATATGATGTAAGATCAGGGACTATATTATTCTCTTTAGAATAGTGGACAGGCTTTCGCCTACATGCGATACCCCTGTCACTTCTCTAAAGAGAATAGGACTATATATACTATTTTGTATAAATAAGTCCCTGGTAAGATCATATGAATGCCGAGTACTTCCTATGGAAAATTTGTCGAAAATTATTTTTTCCCGAAAAAGTGTAATCTTTTAGTGCTTTTAATTTTCTAATGAAATACTATGACTTCAATTTATGTTATTAGAAGGAAATATAAAAATATGACATCTAATTTTAACATACATTCAAAAAATGGTTAAATAGATTCTTTCTTTTGTTGTTAATACGGGAGTCCTCGTTGCGTGCAGCTATATATTGCAGAAAAAAATTATTAAAATTTCGGCGCTATGTACAATGCAAAAAATGAAGAAAAAAATCCAACTCATTTCGAAAATGATGTTATTTTATTTTAAATCCAATCAAAATAAGCAAAAAATAGGTCTTTTCTTGGCTTTTTTTCTTAAGATAGAGCGCAATTTCAGTAATTGGTCTCGTATAATATGTAAAGACACATCTTTGGTAACAATGTAAACTTTGTTCAAGTCTGCGTTCAATATTTTCTGGAAGAAAATTGCTTCTAAATGAATATTTTTTGCTTGGAAATACGTAAATATAAATATCATAACTGTTTGTTTTTTTTGTTTGTTTCTTATTTTTCTGTTGTTGTTGTTGTTGTCCCTGATCTTTCAGTTTTGAGCTTTGGTCTTGCAGGTTTGACCTTTGATTATGCAGGTTTGACCTTTGACGAGAGAGGCATTTTAGAAAAGGCATTCGGACAGGGGTCAGTTAACATGGTTAAGGTCATCTGGAGTCAATCTTCCTGCCCGCCGTGTTATCACCAGGACCCAGTCTTCCACGACAAAAACCATAGACTTCCTGACTTACAAAAGATTATTGGTCGAGCTGGAGAGAGGGGTGGATACCTACATGTAGGGAGATTGTATTTTAATATGAATCACTTTAATTTAAATTTTATTTAAACTAATTACATTTTTTGCAAAAACCTATGACATCATAGGAGGGTGGAATTACCTTAAGATTCAAATCTTTGATGAACCCTTCCTAGGTATTTCAAAAACCAATCAACATAGATAAGTCATAACAATGTGACAAATGTAAGCTCACATAGAAAAATAAGAAAAAACCTTGATATTGTAATATGAACAAATTTATCCCCTTTAATAATCATCACAATAAATAATGTGATGATTCTTAGATTACCTGTTAGATTTCTTGATAAACCGCCTCAACTGAAAAGGGATAATATTTTGGGATGATTACATATGACATAATTATGTCTTTTCTTGTTCCTTCATATGCATATATGTATTTCTCCATTTACTTAACTATATACTCGTATAATCATAACATATACAAAATAAATATTCAGTATAGGCATTTATCAATGATTATACAATTAAGCATTGCTCTCAGTATATGTAAGATCATGTATGTTCTGTCATCTAGATCCTTCCACCTTTCTTTCTTGTTTGTAAATCGTTTTGCTAACCCCCCGCCAAAATTAGGCTAATAAAATAATACATTTTGAATTAAACACAGACTCCCCAAACACCATAAAGAGTATTGAACAATTGCATCGAACACAATAAATTATTGTAAGAAGAAGTGTACCACGTAGCCGGTCATATCCTTTTTTACATCCTATAATTTTATGACCGGACAAAATGTTATAAAGATCTTTACATAAAAACTAGGAAAGCAACACTTCTGAGTACTGACTCATGGCTGCAGTACACGAATGATTAAAATTTTATCGGTTGAAAAATTAATCTAAGCAGAAAACTAGCATTAAGGAAGGTGATCAATGTTTAAAATACAAACACAAGAATACGATATTGAATTTAAAGGTAAGACACTCCTATAACTCTAGCTTTGAATATTTCTCTTGCGACCTAATTTTTCATATGATACGACATTTTTCTCTTTTAACTTGTAATTTCAGTTGGACCCAAAATTCCATAGGTGTAGGGTTTGCAATGTCAACAAATATCTTAGTTTAGCCAGTCAGAAGTTTTAATACTTTATTATGAGAAAAATGCTTCCATGTGTTTAAATGCCTTTTTGAAAGAATGGATGCACTTATGCAAAATGGGAAAAATAAACAAACAAATTAAGCAAAAAATTTCATCTCAAATTACTATTGATATCTAAAACATACACGATTCAACAAATTTTACCGCTGAAATCCACAAATATACGAAGAACAACTAAACAAAATAGAAAAGGTCAGCCGACATTTGTGGTTTTCCATGGTAAATCGAGAACGGTCATTCGATCATTTCAAAGCTTTTGTTAAATATGAACCTTACGTTGTTCAAACTAGTGATTCGCATAATACATTTTTAAAACGTGTGTAAAAGTTTGCACACAATAAGGGTGGTACATAAAATATTAAAAATGTATAAAAAGTATACTGTGTTTTTCGTATAGCAAGTGAAAGATATTTACCTGCATGACCCATTTTGAACCCACGTGTGCTCTAAATTATTTAAAATACTGATAGTCACGTGAGATCTACACAGGTAAACATTCCTCAAATGTGTTCACTGTTCACAGAGGCAGGTTTTGTATCAGTAAGTCAAAGTTGTGCCGCTAAGAGATATTTGTATGTATTTGTTTTTAAGAACACAGAATGGTAAAGAGAGTTTAGTGTTGTTCATAAAAGTGTCAAACATTTTTAACCTTTAATATGCAAAACAATGAAACAGTTATTGAAAGCCAAGTAAACACTTCTTTTCAATTTCAAATTCAATGAAAGTCTTATTGTATTTTTTCAAAAGCAAGAATACCAATTTCTTAATTTAATTATTATAGCTACAGACAACAACACAACTTCACAAAATATTTTTAAAAACAGATTTGGCGCAAGAAGTAACATTCTGTAAAAGCGCCCGAGTATGATCAACCATCCGATTGTACAAGTATCGATTTAAATTTCAATTCACATTGACTTACATAAACGAAACTAAAAGAAGGTTCAGTATACGACTTTTCCGGATTTAAAGTATCCATGGGCATTACAAAATATACAATTGTTTCAAATCCATGCTGATTTAAGTGATACTTAACATGCTTTTTAATTAGAAATATCCACTGGTAACACACTATGACCAATAGAAAACAATTTAGTAATATATTCTAAAGCATCTTCGCTAGATTCCAAAGTAAAATGGCACAAAAAAGGGCCAATTAAGTTTTTCTTAAGAGCACTTGTCCTTTACAATAGAATATGATGTAAGAGTGATTGATTTGTTTGATGTTGGTGTACGTCAAATAAAGTAATATTTCACTCATATAGAGACGTTTCCACAGACCAGTGAAGGGTTTCAAATATTGTCCTTTACTCAGCACTCAGGGCCATTGAGCCTTGAAGGAGCTTTATCGTGCCAAGGCCTAGCTGCCATTACACCAGGCCTTGGTTTTTAAGGTCTTATCCGAAGGACCCGCAACGTTCACTTCAAAGTTTTGAGCGCATAGCGAAGGAACAGTTGGTAACCATTTTTTTATCGACTTATATTTAGGACAGTCAGGGCAAAGATTCGATCTCACGACCTCCCAAACGTAAACAGTAAACAGTGATATGTTAGAAAGAAAAAAAATATGTACATACAATAAACAATAATCAATATCAACTAATTATAATGTTAATAAGAAATATTTTCAGATTTTTAAAAATTACTTACATAACATAAGAAAAAAACAGCCATATTTTAATTTTACTTTTAAAAACAATTTCAACAACATAAAATAAACAAAATGAATGTTGTCCATATCGCTTAAGTTAGCTATAGAAAGCAGAAATGATTTCAAAACCGTTGGGAAGGAAGTTTGCGGTCATAATCTGTACAAACTTGATTATATAATACCTTAGATTGACTTTGTATAATGGCTGTGTTTTTTTTTAAAGATCTGAAAGATATTTCCTAGGTAGCTTGCTTAGGAGCAGGTCCTTTTCAAGGGTTAGATAGATTTTTTTTTCATTCTGTCTAAATGATTACATGTAATTGGAATGATAATAGAGGTACCGGTATATCACACAGTACTTAATTGTTTTCTTATGTAGAGACAGGGTAAGAGACAGGCCAGGGAGAAACTGAGGCACTGCATTCTCCAATAGAATCCCATAAATAGATATATAAGAATTGTGTTCTCAATCTTCTACAGACACACCCACAGCTTAACGTCAATTCCCTAAGACACTCACAACTGGTTTTTATAATTATTATTGATTAATTTTGCTCTTACCCATAACGTCTTTATTCAGAAAAGTCTAAATGTCTGACTTTCTTAAATAACTGTATTATAAACCCCTTGGTTTGGCTACTATCTAACCATTTACTATTTGAAGTATTCAATTCATTTAACTCAAACCCTCAACCATTATACCTATCTATTCCAAACTCGTTTATGTTAAGGAAGGTCAGAGTTCACATTCCATGTACATAGTTTTGGAAGTTTAATTGTGACGTCATTGAAATTTAACAAGCCACGAAAATTAAATAACAACACGAGCATGCCTAAATAACAGATTGAATTTATTTATTTTTATCAATTTTTCATAAAATTTTGCAAAATTGCAATACTTGATAGCGAAACAGTCGAGTAATAGAAGAAAGCCTTTTGTCAAATATGACGTCATCAGGCTTGACATGACCAAAGACCTAAAACGAAGGGACCACCGACTCCATGACGTCACAATAGATATCACTATACGATCTCCCTCCGATTGCAGCGCCCTCACCGGGATGCATAGAAAACATCCGGCATTACAAGGATTACGTTATTTACATCTACATTGTCGAGATATTCTAGCATGGAATGAATTAAACTTTTGCCGAATGTACCAAATTCTTTTACTAATACACTAAAGAGTTCTTTAAGCAGCGTTTGAGGTATTTATCTTGTTTTTAATTAGCTGCAATAATGTAGCCCTCTCCGATTTTCTTAATCTGATATTTTTCTGGAGAGGGCTACAATTCCATCGCATCTTCGTAATGGTGCAAATATTTTTCTTTGATACGGGCGATTGAAGGCAAAAACAATTATTTTTACATTAAACTTACTTCTTCTGAGACGGAATTTTTATTCAATGTCAACAACATAGCCTGTTAAACTCGAAAACCATGTAACCATCTGTGTCTTTCCCAGCTGCATTAATCAGCAGCCATGACAGTTCACGCGAGACATACTGAGACTTTTCGCTTGAAATATAGAACAACTAAATAAAGCAAATGTTGATGTTTATAAACCACTGTGCTGAAATATATCATAAAAACATCGATAAATAAAATCATTTCAAGTGTTATTTTTGCGCAAACAGCGATACGTATGCTTAAAATAAGGGAATTCCTAGTAGATCCGCTCCTATAGAACCTAAATTCTCATTGGCTGTCCCAAAATACAATCCATCAAGGTCAGTAAACATGGCGGATAAATTCAAGTTGTGCTGTTGACATACACGAAAAATAACCGATATATGGATGATGCAGGATCGTTGTGAATATTTTTGGATCGATTTATGTTTTGCATAATTACATTTTTTGATTCCAGGTAAGAGATGATAATAAAATAGCCGTTTACTGATAATTTGAGCCGAAATCCGTGCGGGAGTGGATCACTCCCGCATCTTGCACCATTATAGAGATCCTAAGGAGTTGTAACCCTCTCAAAAAAAAAAAAAAAAAAATCGGAGAGGGCTACATTATTGCAGCTAGTTTTTAATGTGTACAAAAAGCTATACAGTTTGAGTATTTAAGATGACAGATGATAACCATGATCACAGAGAATCTGACAAAATGCATATGAGGTTGCTCATTATGCTCAAGATGCTGCTCGATGAAAAAAGTCCATATTTAAGAAACAGATAGGCCTTTTCATACGTGAATTTTTTAAAGAGCAAACATTTTATGCTTAATAGCAGTGTTTGACAACGCTGATATCGCAACAGGCCCCTATGCATGACTATGGTACAGTAACACAAGTAATGAGTACCTTTGGCAAGTTTATAGCCACCCAAATTTTTTTATTATAATGTATGCAAAAAGTTCGATCCTACCCACCCACCCACCCCCACAGGATTTTCGAGTTTGTACGGAATTGTACGAAAAGGAGACATTTTTCCTTTTTTTTTTAGCTTGTCAAACTGTTTTAGGGTTTGAAAGTTACCATTAGGGCTAAAAGGGGTAAAGTTGCATTAGCGTCGGAAGAAAATTGAAAGTGGGGGGCTAAGTAAGTGTAAAAAAAAACAAAATTGTACCTCCCAAAAAACCTGAAAAGCAAAAAAAAAAAAAAAGGGGGAAATGTCTTTTTCCCAAGCACGAAAATCCTATTTCGTGGGCGCGGGGGGGGGGGGGGGGGAGGGGTTGGATGGTTCGAACTCCAGTACCAAAACTTTTCTTCCATACTCCACCACTTTCCCCATTTTAACCTATACTGAGACGTATCTGTGGAAAGTGAGGGGGCTAAACTTACGAAGATATGTTCAATGTCTATACTAAGTATATATTTGGAAACCCCCCCACCCCACCCCGGTTCCGACGCCTATGAGTTGTTCCCATTTAAATATGATTCTTTTAATATGAAAAATAACATTTTCCCTAAAGTCCTACCTAACAAGGTAAATGGAGTATAATTTCATAAAAAGGATCAGATTTGCAAGTGTCCGTGTGCTTTGAGCTACAGTAAGTTACTTCTATTTAAACAGTCGATTCAAGATCAAACAATTTGATCAGAGTTGCAAATATAAAATAATTACTTACTAGTGTTTGTTCTTCAAAGCTACTGATAAGATTGAACATGATGCTCAGCGATTATGATTTTGCTTTTTTTCAGTTGTGATTGATACATTGAAAGTAGATAATTTAAAAAGACATTAAATAAGCCATATATATATCTAAAACAGTGCTCACCAATATAAGCTCACAATAGAAAAGGAAAAGTCTAAAATTAAATATAACAATGATTTTAATAATTTTTCATTACAGTCACATTAAATGTATTTAATATTTATACCGGTATTGATGCAGTTTGTCTTTGAGTTATGATATACAAAAGTTAATTATAATCACATTCTGGATAAACACAGTTTGGTTGAAAAAATTGAAGTTCTAAACATGATAATTAAATCATTGAAATCCAGTCATGTGCAACTCAGCCGTGCATACATGGGACACACCACTTGGCACTTTTGTTGATTTAATCCTGTGCAGGTTTGTGACCAGTCTTTGTTCTTTCACATTTAACTCATCATACCAGGTGGTACACGGCATGACCATGTTCTAAATTAAAAATATTTTCCAAACAGTTTTGTTTTCTAGGCAGACCCCTACATGTATTCTCATTTGAGAAGCGGACAGGCTATCAACACAACCTGTGGGGAAAAATGAAAAAAAAAATAATCTCTTAGAAAATCTTTTCCACACTGACAATGTTGTAATCCTGAATTAACATGATTACATAAATTATATAAATCCAACTTTTTAAAAATACATAATTATGTAGATCATTCACGGGAACATCTAATCTCAATTTATAAAGTTGTTGATCTAAAAACTGTAAACGGCACAGATGCTTGAGGACAGGACCCCCCCCCCCCCCCTCCCCCATTAGAGACCCCCGGGCCTGTTAGACTTTTTCACATAAATATAGATCCCAGTGCCTGTTAGACTTTTTCACATAAATTATGTATGGATGACACATTTGTGATATAATCTATCTTAGCAATTCAGAAAATTTGATTAAACTAACCTTCTATAAAAATTTAACACCTTCTCGTTGATTTTTATATAGAGTTTTGGGTAGATTCTAAAGAACGTTTGCTTCAGGTAATTTTTCTAATATTTGGTATAGATCTTATCATAAATAAGTCAATGAAGGATTATTTATGAGAAAAAAAGTCCAGGGGTCTATATCGAAAAAGGGGGAGGGGGTCCCGTCCTCAAGCACTTATGGTAAACAGCACTTCACAATGTATTTATTATTTATATTAATTCAGCGAAGATCTGAAATTGGTCGTTTGTTCAAATATTGGTAGATAAACTGTGTCCTTATTTTGTGAAATAATTAAGAAGATAAACATGTACTACCGTAAAATATAATCGACAGCATTCAAGAGATGTCACGTCGTAGTCAGCTGATGCTGTTAAAACGTTTCCATCGACTCCATAGCGTAAAGTTATAACTTCCGAAGTAGCACATCGAGATCATTTCGTCGAAGAAAGCTTAGATAAGTGATTGATATTCCTAATTTGTTGCTATTTCCTAAAAGAATGCAGAAATCAGTGATGCGACAACATTGATTTCATTACAGGAAGTCTGTTTCTATACATCCCGGTGAGGGCGCTGCGAGCGCAAGAAGATAGTGATTGTGACGTCATAAGTCGGTGGTCCCTTCGTTTTAGGTCTATGACATGACGCAGCACAAGTGATCCAGAGGAGTAGATTCACTAGTTTAATAATTACTAGAATGCTTAATAAATACGATACCATTGCTAATTTTTAGACCTAATCATTAAAACTAAAAGAAAATAATTTATTAAATACAATGTGTATAGAATTAGGGAATAACTATCTCCTAATTTGGTATTTGCGACCGTTAATGCTGATTTAACGGTTGCAAACTGAGTTTTACCGGCGACGCGTAAGCAATCCATGCATTTTGTTTGTTGTTTACGTATTATTTTATGAATTTGTTACAGAAATACGTCACGGAGCATTGTGTTTTTGCGTCGCTCTATTATGACGTCACAATGAAAAGGCTTTCACGCTCGTTAATGCTCGTTTTACTGCTTCAAACATCAGTGCATTGGCCAATGAAAAAGTGTTTTACAAAACAATTGCATTAGAATATGAATTTATCTAGTAGCGTTGAAGCTGCACAGGGATAAAGAATATAGAGAATATCGCTAAAACGATGAGCGTATTCGTGATTTACATCAAAAGTGCATGGGCATAGACTATTTGTTTGAGCTGAAATTAGGAACATTTATTGCTCATACAGTGTATATATTAAAAAATTGCTGGGAGCTGATCTTGGTCTGCATAACATCAATTTTATTAATAACAGAATTTAAGCGAAGGGGAAATTTTAAGCTATTATAAGCTTTTCCGGCAAAATTTTAAGTACTTCACAAACAGTACTGACTATCTCCCAGCACTTTTTGAGTAAAGGATATAAACCTCTTTTAATGTGAATCAATTTCTTTCTTGAAAAACAAGCGTATGCCCTTGCACTATCCCCATTTCCTACATTCAGCTTTACAATTCTAGTATTTTTATACAAGTCACGTGACAAACAGCTGATACGTGCGATATAACTGGTAATAACTACGGCCCTGTCCTATCCATAATTGATAGCTATAATACATTTTCTACAAGTATTCAGTTGCTTTGTAATTTTTTTCAAAAGAAGCAATACATATTAAAACGATGCAAAGGTTACTTTTCCATATTGGTCCTTTATAACATAGCTGAGAAGTAAAATTTTTAAAAAATACTTTAAACCCACTTGATTGGCAATGAGTAGATTAAGCCCAATATATATAAATAAATTGAAAGTAGCTTTTGAGAACTTGATGTTTTCCACTTAGTGTAAAAATAAAAATGTCTTAGTGTTGAATCAAACTTAATCTTAACATCGAGATAAATGAATTATTCAATAATTATTCAATATTCAATATTTAATAATTTATTTTGCCGCAGAGACCATAGATTATTCTAACAAAACTAATTTTTCTATCCAATCAAATGATGCCTTACAAAATGCGTTTTAGATATATTCATAGATAAGCAGATTGAATTTAATGTACTAGTTATATTCTAATTTCATAATTTCTTTCACAGAATCATGGTCATGAGATACAATTACGTATAATGGACCCCCGGTACTGTGCGCAAGACATCCTCCTCTGTGACCTATGTCAAGCAGCTGCATTACAGAGTCAATGTGAACATTGTCATGTAAATCTCTGTATAGTCTGCGTTGAAAAACACCTCTCTGATCATTCAATAAGACACAGTATTGTACCGTACAAACACAGATATTTTAAATAAAAGTACCCATGCAAGATGCTTAATCCACATCAAAAAACATTGTAAACTTTACTGCGAGAGTTGTGATATTCCAGTTTGTGCTTCCTGCATCTCATCTGGAAAACACAACGGGCATGATTTATCAGATGCTCAGGAAAAATTAAGTTCTAAAACCAAGGATATAGAAACAGATTTGAAAGAACTACAGGAAAGAATCTATCCTGCATATGAAAAAATTGCATCAGATTTAAACTCCGAAAAAGAAGACTTGGAGACAATTATGAGAAACTGACAACAGCAGTAACCAAGCAAGGTGAAGACTTGCAAAAGGAAATTATCCTTATTGTCAACAAACGAAAATCAGAGATTGGTGAGATGAAGGCAAAACATTTGGCTGTTCTAAAGAAAGAAGAAGATGAATTAAAAAAAATTACTCTTGATGTTCAACAGAGTATTTGTGATCTGAAGACAATGCTGGATTCTAATAATGTCTCCTTCATATCTGCACACAAATCTAGAAATGCCGAATTTAAAAAGTTATCGTCTAAAGTCAGTATTTCATTACCAACTTTTTCTCCTAAGATGATCATTTCAGAGAATATTAGTGAAATGTTTGGTTCTCTATCGGCATTGTCAACAACAGAAGAGCATCATAACAAAGTGGTTCTGGATGAACCAAAACTCATTACTGCTATACAGACTGGGTATGATGAACTATTTAGTGTAACTTGCTATGGTGAAGACGAAATCTGGACGCGTGGGAGAAACCGAATTATGAAACTCTATAACCTCCAGGGTATCCTATTGAAGTCAGTCCAAACCAAATCAGGCTTCATACCACATGACATGTCAGTGACAAGTGCAGGAGATCTAGTGTATGCTGATCAAGATGAAAGAACTGTAAACATAGTGGAGAATAAAATGATACATGAAACGATCAGATTAAAGGGATGGCTTCCTACCAACATCTTTAGTACCTCATGTGGTGACCTTTTAGTTGCCATGTATGATGAGAGTCTAGAGTTGTCCGTTACTCTGGTTCCATAGAAAAACAAATCATTCAGTTTGATAGTGTAGGCCAGCCTCTCTATTCATCTTGTCACTACAGTAAAAACATCTGTGAGAATAAAAACTTGGATATCTGTGTTGCTGACAATGCCGCAAGTGCAGTAGTGGTGGTTAACAAGGCGGGAGAACTCCGATTTAAATATACTGGTCATAGCTCTACTTCCAAAGGATCGTTTTATCCATACGGCATCGTAACAGACAGCAAGAGTCAGATCCTGACATCAGACTATAACAACAACTGTATCCACATCCTACATCGGGACGGAAAGTTCCTCCGTTACATTGATAACTGTGATATTCATCGTCCACGGGGTTTATGTGTAGATACGCGTGACAACCTCTTTGTGGCTGAGTGGACCCAGGGTTTGGTGAAGAAAATCAAATATTTGTAATAATTGAACAACTACATATATAACATTTTTGAAGACGTTTTCCCATTATATCACAAATATATTATTTTTATCCATATGCCCTGAAAAACTTCTGAATCATGCCGGATACAGTTATGTTCCACATGAAACAGTTACGTGCCCTCCCAAACACAGTTTTGTTTCATTCTGCATATTAAATGCGTCGGGTTCGAAATTCACAGAGGCAGTTGCTAAAATAACGTAAACAGTTCCGCAAAAATTAAAAAAAGTCAAGACTACTTCTGCGATTTGTTCATTTGAGGAATTTGATTACTTAATTGAGGAGAAAAAATCCTAAAATTTGTAACAAATTTTACCAACAACAGTGTCAGCATACTGAAATTATTTTTCCATGAACGTGATGAAACAGGACGGAAAAGAACTATATGCTATATTTTTCAGAAAGAGGACAAAATTGATAACATTTCATCAATTTTAGCTTTTAAATTTATAGAGCACAAGTTTGTTCAGGAAGAATATTGACAAATTTCATTGATATTATCATTCTACACATTATATCAAAATATTGATCCTGAACATACATGCGCTCGATGACTTTTACTCAAAATATCGACAAACAATGTACATTTTTCTGTAAAATTCGAAAAAAAACTTAATTTTTACGTCATGTTTTGACGTCATTACGTACATATGGCGTCATTACTTATGAAAATATTCAGTGCTTTGAAGTCAGCATATACTCCCCTGTTTAAGAACTTAATTAAATATATCTCCATCAAAGTTTGATTTGGTGGAGAAAATATTGGTTATTACCGAATAAAGTTCTTTCTGAATAATACTCAACATACATGTAATGATATATGCATTAGTGTTCAATAAATATGTTCCATGTCGGATTGTCGGTTGACCGATTTGGGTTCAATGTTTTAAAAAAATATAAACCAATTATTACATGGCTTTATTCTCGGGCAGCAATACCAGAATGTTTGCCCATCGGTGACACTATTTAAGCCTTCGGCATCGGGCGACACAACACTCCATGGCTTTCATATCACCTTGGGGCAAATATTCTGGTATGTTGCCCTCGACACAATGTAATATATGTATTATACTTTACGCATGCAATGAATTACATCTAATTTTACCCCCCAGATTTCATTTGAAAACTTTTTTAGAGAAAACTGTAGCTTTACTAATATTTTTCCTCAAATGAATTTGTACACTAAACAATACCGAAATAATTCCTTACTCATGAATTTGCAATTTCACAAACATTTACATTACGTAGCGATTTTACTCCATAGTAAATGTATTCTTTAAAAAAAAAACATTTAAAACTATGGTTGAATAAAAAAAATATTCAGCAGAAAACACCGAACAGATCGTTGAAATTCTTAAGAGGTACTTCTTTCGACATAGTTTTACTTTTTCAAGAACGTGTACTAGGGTTCGTGGACAAACTAAAATTTTAAAACAAATGGAATTATTGATATATTATTAGCATATTTATAATCCTTTACTAGATGTGAATAAAAAAATGTGAACTTATATTCAATTTCAAGTACAAAAGTAAAATTATGTCTTCAATAATAAATATGGGATGGTGTCCCGGAGCACAGCAAAAAAAAATAAAAATAAATAAATAGTTGTTTATTAATCTATAATTTTTTTTTGCATTTTGTAACATTCCGCGGATATTAAGATTGTTTTTTTTATATTGTGAAATTGACAAAGGATAAAACGACAAAGCTGCAAACTTTTTAATATCCGGTTTATAGAAATGACTGAGAAATTGAGTTTAAAATCTATTGAGACACGATCGACATTGTTCGAAAAAGTGACGCTTTTTGAAAAGGTGGACCAGTGAACAGTGATAAAATTTTGAGTTTAGATCGGTACAAACACCAACAGAGACCCATAACTGCTTTCAATAGGCGGGAACATATAATAAAAGAAACAGCTGACTCTAGAATTGAAGTGGAATATTTAATTTTTGAACGGAAGGAACAGTTAACAAGATGACATGCGTGAAGGAATACCATCAATTCGACATTACAGTGCTGTAAAAATGTATTTCGTAGCATGACTTTTTCATATTTCCTTAAATAAAGTCTTTTTTCGCGGACAAAATTTTAATGATTTGCAGGATCTGAAACAGGAAGTATTAAATGTTATTTTACATACAAAATCCGAACAGTTTGTACACAATTTTGAAGACTGTTTTAACGACATAAGAAATGCATTGGGTTAAACGGTGATTGTGTTGAGAAACGTTACATGCATTGTTACGCTTTTGACGTTTAGTAACATCAAGGATTTTCGTTAAGTACTCCGGGTATGGTTCTTGAAAAGAAAATATTTAAAGTTTGTTCCTATTTGTTTTTAATATTAAATTATTTGCTTAATATATAGATTTTGATTAAGACCCCCCTTCCTAAATAAATACTTTTGTATGATAAATAAAGTTTTAAAAAAAAATGTTGTCTAATTTAATTCATTTATTTATAATTTTTGATTCTGAAAACATTTGTCTAAATTATATCATAAAATTGTAAATTATAATGTGAAAATCAGTAATTCGAAGTTTTTAATATGTTTTGTGCTTGAAAAATTATTTACCGGTAATTTAAAACAAAAATTGTATACAATTTATATACTAGTACACTAATAAAAATTATAAATCCTTTTTTAAACTATTTAAATTCTGGTAGATTATTCATACAGGAAAGTCTACCTGAACCCCTTAAAGGGTCCCTTAATTGACTGTGATAATTACTTGTTGTTTTTTTTCGAGTGGCCATTCGGGGAATAAACAGTCCAGCTAGGTTTAGGAGATAAATGATTGTGCAACACAAACTATGGGCCCTAATTAGAGGAAATTTAACAGATTGGCATTAGAAATTAAACACGGTACAGTATGTAGAGGCTACGAAGTTTATTTGAATTTAAAAATAAATTATATAATTTATCAAACTGACAACGACGATCTTGTGTACTGTACATGTGGAGCTAATATTAAAATTGTGGCGGAACTATGGCGCTGATTTTTTAACTGTGCCGCTAAGGATTTTAACTGTGGCGGGGCCGCCGCGTTAGGCCCATTGAGAACCCTGAAATACAACAAAACTCATTAATTTAAAGATTTAACGTAATCATCTTGTATCCCCAATCATATAAAGAACTATATGTGGTATATTGCATATATTTGCCCTCACAAAAGTAAAATTTTGAAAATTTCCTGAAATGTGCTGAATTCAATAAATTGTATGAAAAATATAAATTAACAGAAAATATTATAGTGTCAAAGCAGTTGATTCACAATTTGTGTTTTTATGACGTCACAAAATAGTCCGATTTTATATCCTTTTTCAGGAAAAGAAAAAATTTCAACAATTTTAGCTATAAAATTTATAGAGCGCAAGTTTGTTCAGGAACAATATTGACATATTTCATTGATATTATCATTCTAAACATTATATCAAAATATTGATCCTGAACACACCTGGTGTACATATGTACACATATGTACATTTTTTCTGTAAAATTCGTAAAAAACCGATTTTTACGATATATTTTGACGTCATTACGTACATATGGCGGCATTACTTATGAAAATATTCAGTGCTTTGAAGTCAGCATATACTCCCCTGTTTAAGAACTTAATTAAATATATCTCCATCAAAGTTTGATTTGGGGGGCAAGTATTGGTTATTACCGAATAAAGTTCTTTAATGAATTTCTTATATGGTTATGACAAATTACGGATATAGCGAAGTAATTTCATAGATCGCAGTTACTTCGTTATAACCGAGTTTTGCTTGAGACTGTGGGGATTGTGATATCAAAAACATTACTCTTTTAGAAATCCAAGAGAGGAAATTCTATAATTTTGTAAAACTTGTGTTTTTGTCTTTATGAAAGAACCGAAACGAATTTTTTAAAGGCACCCCCCTCCTGAAACAAAACTTCCTCTTTTCCAGTAATATTGACTGTCATTTCCTCAATTCATACTGTAATTTCATCAAGTTAGGACCCCATTGAAAATAAGCTCTCGAGCTTTAATGGGTTTTCCAGGTATCTATCAAGTCATGTTTAATTATTTATTTATAACATCTTAAATTGAATAGCAACTTCCATCTTTTCTAAGATCATGTACATAATTATGTGTATTTGTTTTATGCATGATGGCATGATACCAAATAAATACTACTATTATCAAAGTGTATAAAATGTATGTACAGATATGAAATATCTGTGTATAAACTGTTTGGAAAATACATATAGCTATCTAGTTTTTTATAGACAAAGTTAAGATGGATGTAAATAAGAAACCATAGAGTATGTTCTACAGTTACTCAGTAGCATAATTACCAGGTCACTTGTAAATTTGAAAAGGTTTTTAAAAATATTTTTTAATGGTACTAGTATATAACTTTTGGTTAAGAGTAGCAAAAAATGAAAGAAACTGCTCAGCACTTGCAGATTCAATTTTATTCAATTAATGCACCATTGTTTTTTTACTGGGAACAACAGCAAAAGTTTGGACCGCAGTGAGTAGCAGCACAACTGAAACTTCCGTATCTCCAGGTGTTGAGCCATAATGTATTGGGGGTATTGTAGGGGCCACGTTTGGCGTAAATGTGCAAGGCATCAATGCATTGAGGTTTTCTGTGCAAATTATTATTGTGCATTTATTTTTTATATACAATTAAATCATATGAAATATGATGTAGTTATGTCTAAGAATGAAAATTTATTTTTAATGGATAGGACTTATATAGGCCATGCCTGATGTCCAATCCAATTATGAAAGCTTACTTTACATAATGAAATATTTTTTAAATAAAAAATCTATGTTTCCAAAAAACATAAAGTAAAATTGATCGTAATATTTAAAAACAATTTTTATTCAAAGAACGGATAATCAAAACAACTGTCATATCAATATGACCTAGAACGATTGAAAAATTATATGATTCTGTTTTTCTCAATTTTGTCTGATTTTTATCTAACAGATATCGTGCATTTTCTTCCAGATACTACGTTAGTTGAAAAATATTGCTTTATAAAAACTAATACTTTTTCTACAAACTGTAGAACTTCAACTGAAATATATATATTTATGAAAAAATATTTGCCGATTTCCTTACTCACTTGTTAAAGGAAACGCCAGCATAATCCATACCAGTAACTGATTGACAGATTTCGTTGCAGGACTCTCCACCGCCACATTTGCGAGGAATTGCTGCAGTGTGAGCCCTCTGTGGACTCAAACCAATACAAGCCGCTGTTGCAATATCATGATCATCTCCACTTATAAGCAATATATTTGTTCCAAACGCTGCAATACAAATTCATTTTATTTATGAAAAGCATATTACAATAAAACTTAATGAATTTTGTACTTTTTATGCATTCTTAAGCCACTTAACACCATTTCTTTCCTCAATGTGTGAAATAGATTGGTAACATTCAAAATGTATTACTTGTTTTAAGATTAATAGGAAAAAATTGCAAAGTAACCAGGAAAAAATGCTAAAACTCTTTTTAGAAATACATCTGTATGTTATGTGTGTTGTATTTATCAGAGGAAGGGAGAGAGAGAGAGAGAGAGAGAGAGAGAGAGAGAGAGAGAGAGATTACTTGCTTACTTACCCAATGTCAAAATCAAAAAACTCAAATATATTGCCATTTGATTTTGCCAACGGATGAAATTTCCAAATGGGTAATGTACATTTCCAACTATTTTAATCTTATTTATACAGTTGTTTCATTGATAAGTACAGCCTATATGAATTCTATTGGAGGAATTATGAACCAGATGACTTACGAGGGCTGTTCAATAAATAATGTCCTGAACTATATGACATACATTACAGATATCGTATGACATTACACTTGAATTTCTCTCATTATTGAATCTTTCATGAATTTATAACAGTTTATGTGACCACTTTTCATCACATAGTTTCATCACGAGAAGCTGGGAAACAAGGGCTTTTCGAGACACTGCATTATAAATGAATGGTAAAGAATCAGTAAACAAGAGTGAAAATAAAAGCTTCATTAAAGCTGCCATAAAACTTGTAAAAAATCCAAAAGAAATATTAACTGAAATAAGTGACATTTAGAGCAACCAATGCCTGTTTTATAGACAAAAAGAGCAGTTCGATTTCAATGATAAAAATTATATAATGGGCATCAAAAATGGGTTCCCTCCTTGCTTACAAAAATTATAACAACTCAAGTACTGTTCGCTAAATTTCAACAAATAATATTTGATGCTGTATGATTGACTTTCAGACACATAGCAAATTTGATAGCAGCACATCGGGGATAGTTTACACTGTTTTTAAGAAACGTTTGGCGGTAAAAAAGTTTGAAACTCAAAGGTCACACTATATTTTGAAAAATGAGTGAAAATGACAGCGTGTACGAAATTCTTAACAATTATTTCAAAATATCAATTATTGCAGTTATCCACGTTTGTTTTATTTTCAACCAGATATTGGAACATGAATCTATCGCTTAAAACCCTAAAAACAAAATTAACCATAAGATGTACTTGATAAAAACAGCGAATGTCTGAAAAGTGAACAGGTATGCAAAAGCACAAAGACAAATTTATATATAATTTTCTTAAACATTAGTGGTAATGTTGTTCAAAATCGTATTCGGAGAGACAGTTTAAGTTCTGGCGGAGTCTAGAAAGCACTTTTTTTGCCAAAAAATCAAAAGGTTTATTAGAGGAAGGACCCAGAATGAGGAATCCACTACATTGAATTTCTTCAAGACAGCGTCCAAAACCGCATGCCCTGAAGAGTAAAGGGGTTTTCGGGATAAACTGAGAATTAATGTTTTTTCACATTAACAATTTTTGCAAGATCTTTGACTTCTTGACTTATTTCAATTTCCTAACTTGGAAAAAACACCTTTTAGAAGGAAGAAACAAGTCCGACGAATCATTGGATCTGCCATTTTCCAGTATACTGAGGGACATACCTTTATATGAGTTCTACAAACGATAAGAAATTGGATAAAAAATGCTACGGACATGTATTTTACTTAAAAGAGATTAAATAATAAAACCATGAAGAATAAATAATTGGAAAACGTCTTTTACTTCTTTCTGAGCACAGAGGACATTATTTATTGAACAGCCCTCGTATATCGGAGAAACTGAAGCCAAATCTATAGCAATCTTCCATACCTTTTTTCATTTTAAAAAACGTCAATAAAATAATTCATTGTGTTTATGATTCGGGTTCATACTCTGAATTTTATCCATAGCGTTTTGTGTATGTAGTACGCAGACAGTATGCGGGGCCACAATGGTGAATCAAAGTTTTACATAGAAATATATAGGAAAAATCTTTGAAAATCTTCTTCTCAAGAACCACTGTGCCAGAACAGCTGAAACTTATATGGAAGCATCCTGGTATAGTGTAGATTCTAAATTGTTCAAATCATGACCCCCGGGAGAAGGGCGGGGCAACAATGGGGAATCAAAGTTTTACATAGAAATATATAGGAAAAATCTTTGAAAAAATCTTCTACTCAAGAACCACTGAGCCAGAAAAGCTGAAACTTATGTGGAAGCATCCTTGGGTAGTGTTGATTCTAAATTCTTCAAATCATGAACCCCAGGGGAAGGGCGCAGCCACAATGGGGAATCAAAGTACAAAATAAAGCACATAATAAACACTTTTCTCCTTAATAATTAGAATAATGGTATATTCAGGTTAATTATCTTATTTACGAAATTAGCCATATCTGTCAACTTTTTTCTTACAATGTTTGTATGAAACTTAAATTCTTCCTTTTAAGGATTTACTTTTTCAATCCGCAGTCAGAATACGAGGGACGATCAGAAAGTTCTGCAAGTATACTTTGTATCTATAGACTAATGAAAACAATATATATCAAAATGTAAACTAGTTTAATCCTTCAAAAGAACCCCCTTTTACATTCACACACTTTTGCAATCTCAATTCTCATGATTTGAAAGCCACGAGGAAGTCTTCCCTTGGAATACTGTCTAAGCACTGATAAACAGCACCACCAACAGCACCCCGCGAGCTGTAGCGACGTCCAGATAACATTTGTTTCAATCTCGGAAATAGGAAAAAGTCAGAAGGACTTAAGTCTGGAGAATACGGGGGGTGTAGAAGCTGAATAACCTTCTCATCCTTCAAAACACTTTGAACTGTTTTACTCTTATGGGCAGGAGCATTGTCGGGAATCGGGAATGAGCTTTATGTTCTTCAAGCCAGTACATTATTTTTGTAAAATTGTCCCGAGATACCTCTACCTTGCGGAGTTGGAATTTGCACAACTGGGCCACTAGAGTTAAAGAAAATTGCATACAGAATCTTTTTAGCACTCTGACATCTTTTTGCAATCACAGGACAATCGCTATTCTTCCTGACCCACATCATATTGTTAATTTTTCTTTGCAGCTAAAAAGTAAATCCAAGTTTCATCACCTGATTGCAAGTCAGCAAATTTTCTTCTGTCACAGTTTTTATAGATTTTTAACTTTTTTCTACCAAAGTTCAAACGTGTTGTCTTTTGTTCTGGTGTCAAGAGATGTTGTATCCATTGTGCAGATACTTTACGTAGGTTGAGGTGCTTGGTCGAAATTTCATGTACCTTTGCTGATGAGATACCAACAACACTAGCAATATATTTTAAAGTATATCTTCCATCTTCCTCTACCATTTTCTAAACTGCAGCCACAGTTCCATCAGTAACAGCTGTCTTCGGACGCCATGCTCTCCAAGAATCTTTAATGACGTCAACATCATTCTTAAACTGTTTCAACCAACAACAAACGGTACTTAACAAAACTGCAGAATCTCCATAAATCTGGCAAATTTCATTTAAAATTACTTTTGAAGGTATATCAAGAATGCTTCTCACTCTTATATAAGTTCTTATTTCAGCCTTCACTGCAGATTTCATATCACTTGGGAAAAAATGGTCAGTGTGTACGACTACCACTTCTTCTTTTGTATGTAACTTTTGAATTAATGGATAAAAAGATAAGAAATTTTAGACAGACAGAAGCAATGAATGTATCTACCCGTGTATGACATCGGTTTTGGTCATCTACGAAAAATATCTATGGAATAACATTACTTGCATTATTTTCTGATCGCCCCTCGTATACCAATTAAGTTTTATCAAGAGAAAATGCAAGTCTTATTGATACACACATGAAATATATGCAACATGAAAATCTATATTGAGAAGGTTTTACAGTATTCAATCTCTCCGATAGAATTATATATAAATAAATAAATAATGTGTGATAGCAAATGTAAAGAAACACTGATAAAATCCAACCTAATTAAAATTAGATATAAAATCCGCTTGCATACTCGCTACACTAACATCTTACAACATCGCACAGAGGGTCACGTCTGAGGTCAAATTCTATTAGCCAATCATATTGTCGCCTGCAAAATCAGCGTATATTTGTTGATGCAATCGACACGAATATGTCTAGAGTTGTTCCAAATTTGACCTCTGAAGTGACCCTCTATGGGATGTTGTTAGATGTAAGTGTAACAATGCGAGCAGTTATTACATCTAATTTTGATTAAATTGTGAAATAAGAGGCATATGGGCCACAGTGCTCACCTGAGCACATCGGCCAGGAAAAAGCACATATCAGATCAGAACTGAAAGATTACAGAAAGGAGGGGCGCTAGAATTTTAACACACACCCCAACGGGTTCATTAATCATGGCTTTGAAGTACTTGAAAAAATATTTTAAAAGGTATCCCTATATATTCCTTTGTAAAATTTGGGTATTCCATTTTGGCCCCATCCTAGCCTTGGGGGTTATGATTTGAACAAACTTGAATCTACACTACCTGTGGATAATTCCATAGGAGTTTCATATTTCTTGGTCCAGTGGTTCTTGAGAAGAAGATTTTAAAAGATTTTTTGTATATGTTCCTATGTAAAACTTGGGTTGGCCCTTTTGGCCCCACCCTAGCCCCGGGTGTCATGATTTGAACAAACTTAAATCTACACTTCCTGAGGATTATTCCACGTGATTTTTATATTTCCTGGCCCAGTAGTTCTTGAGAAGAAGATTTTCAAAGATTTTTCGTTTATGTTCCTATGTAAAACTTGGGTCGTCCATTTTGGCCCCACCCTAACCCTGGGGTCATGATTTGAACAAATTTACCTTTCCTGGGCCAGAGGTTCTTGAGAAGAAGATTTAAAAAAAAATTCCTACATGAGCCTACGTAAAACTTGGCTCAGCCATTTTGGTCCCACCCTAGCCCCGGGTGTCATGATTTGTACAAACTTGAATCTTCACTAAC